GCAACGATATCATCTTTCTGCTTCCACTCCAAGCCTACCAATAAATACTATGTATATACATATATAGATTTAGGTACGTCTTGTGTATGCTTGACTATCTGTTAAGTGGAAGGCAGACAAGTGTCTGAGCACACGTTGTGTGTGGGTTACTGCTTTAAACGTGCTAAAGCAAAGAAATTATATCTATATGCATATTTTTACTAAACAAATTCTGTACGCATTACTTGAGGTCATGAAAATCACATAGAAAGGCGATATTCAAGCGTGAGAGGCATTACTCAATGACATGATAATTGCATAAAGAAAAAGAGAGAGAGAGAGAGAGAGAGAGGGAGAGAGCAGCAAAGAGGCAGGTAGTCACTATCAGTATCATGATTATAAAACTATTGAGAATGAGCCGTAAATTTACGCATGCATCATGAAAAACTTCACTCACACTCACATTCGCACGTAAGCGTTACTCTGTTACTCATTAACAGTGTCAATTATAGCGCAATGTTAAACCACAGTTTATGCATTCAACAAACACACACACACACAAACACACTCGTGTAAACTTACAGTGACCCCTTTCTGCCCGCCCGCCCGCCTGCACACTTGCTGTTATCTAAGAGCGCACAATTCGCCGTTAAGCAAGTCAACAAAAGTCACAGTCGCATTTATATAAAGTACTGTGACTAATGCTCAATTGAATTATTGTTGGGCGAGGAACAGCACCCACCCCACCCCACTGACCGCTGCCAACCACATTTGATTACAGGGCAACAAGAGGCAAATGGTACCTGAAAACGGGGTCATAATTAAGACGCAGGCGATTAACATAAAATGGCAAATTCCATGCAGCAACACACCAATTGCTCTCGGCTGGTGGCTCAAACGTAATTTGGGTCAAAATTCAGGCAACAAAAATTATGTATTATCATTAAATTTCATTACAAGCGGGCGCACAAATCGAGAAAAATGCAAAAAAAAAAAAAATAATAAGAAAAAAATAAAACAGCGCAAAAATCATGGAACTGGAAACCGTTACAGCAAAACGCACTTCAACTCAAGTGTACAGTTATAGTGACGACGCCAGCGCTGACTGCAAGCAACAAAAACAAAGCCAGGCCTCTGTCTCTCGTATTTCTTGTGCGTGTGCGTGTGTATGTGTGTGTGTGTGTAAGTGTCTTTGCCATTTTTGGGCAGACAGCAGAGGGAGACAGACAATCGAAATGCTAAAACATGCGAAAATGCGTACGCCTACCTCCCCAGACAGAACCTTGCCACACGCTATACTAAAGATGGGCGCGTGTCAAAGCGTTGCCGTACCTTTCGCCAGTTAATCAGTCGGGCCGAACTGTTATATGCATACACATAACTATATGGCGCTTTGAAATTGCTTTTTGGATAAGTATAAGTTTTTTCTGCTAAATCGTATTTAAAAAATGAGCGTTAGTCTAGCGGCACACATGAAAAACTAGCCTGAATAACTGCTGCCTCACCCAAAAAATAGCAAACAAGCTAATTGGCAACAGTGCACCGATTCTTTTGTCGCGTATAACGGCACGTGTCACGCGCTCATCTCTAACAATCTACGCTCGCTGCAGTCCTGCTGCGCTGAGTCATCGCGATGATGATCATTCGAGCAAGTGATTGGTGGCAGGTTCAACGAACTATGTGGCAACGCACTTACCAAAAAAGTCCTCCCAGGTGTCCGAATCGGATTCTATGTCCATCTTGGTGATTGCTGCTGCTACTGCGACTGCGACTGCGACTGCGACTCCGCCTGTTGCTGCTCCTGTTGCAGTTGATTTATGTTCGCAATGCCTTGTTTGGTATTTGGTTTGTGTCCAAATTTAGCCAAAGATTGCGTGGCTGGTTTTTTCGCACTAAGTATATTGGGGTGGTGGTGGTGGGGGGTGTTTTATGGCTTGTTAGATATCCTATCTAGTCGTGGCCCCTTGTCCATAGTCTTTTCCGCTTAGTCGCTGCGCAAATGACTTCACCCGGCATTGCTTAGGCAAAGGCGAAAAGCTGCTCCAATCAATGGTCTACCGATAAGATAAACACACACACACACACACACATGCACTAATACACACGCATATATAAAGCGAGTTCAAGAGTTTTACACTGTGCGAAACGTCTCGGCTTCTATCTTATCGCAGAGCAAATACCTAATAAGTACGCAATTTAGACTGGAAGTGCAGCGCAACAGCTGTTATACATACATGCATGCGCACACACACATACACATACATACGCACACTCAGGCGCGCACACTTGACTGTTAGATGGATTTTTTAGCCAGCAGTTGGCGATTCTCAAATCAACTTGTAGAATTCTCAGAAATTCGCGTATGACTAAACCGGCTGTGAACTTTGCCTAGGCTTTTATTTTTTCAATATTTGTTTAATTCGCTCTTCAACTTTGTTGTCGTTGTTGTTGTTGCTGTTGTAGTTGGTTGGGGGCACAGGTAAAGACACTTTAATAACAAAAACAAATTGCAAACACTCAATTTGAAGATGCACTTGGAATGGGCGCTTCGCTGACTTTCCAGTTTCACCTTCGCACCGTTACTTCTAATTGTGGAAAACACTCTCACAGCAACAAACACTTCCAACAAAGCGTTGCACGCACGCGCCTTTAACGACGACGACGGATGGAAAGAAACGGCGACGGCGACGACTCACCCACACGACGTTTCGAAGCGAACTGAATGCGCGTTGCCGCCAACACAATTCGAATGACTGTTATAAAATTTTATATGTTATAAGACCGCATATTTACTGCCACAATTTGGCTGTTCGCCGGTGTTGTTTACAATTTAAACTTTTAATTATTAATTAGCACTAATTACTGTATATTTTTCACTATTTACTGTATATTAAATTTCAATTAATATTTTGTTTTGCTCAAAAGGTGTTGTTATTGTAGCCGCAAATGATCTAAACTGATCTGTTACAGCGGCACTCACTTTACAGTGCATGTTACTGACGGCCGTAACGAAATTGTGCTAAACTCAAAATGGCACTGTTACGCATTAAATGTTGAAGGAACTGTTACGCGTATATTCTGACATACATATATGTTATATTAATACACTTCAAATTTGACAATACATATTCGAAAATTTATGCCAAACAGCAATTAGCGCAAATATTCCAATAAGAAATTACGGCCCATGCGAAATAGATTTCCACTAAAATAATTGAAAATTTTAATTATTGTTGCCGCGCCATTAAGAATAACTTACCTAGAATAAATATAGCTCCTAAGCCGACGTTCAAGAGGACCGCATCCAGTATCGCATACACTATCAATGTAATAATGGCAAAAATAAGGGACAACAGGGCACACATAAAGGACACCAGTAATAAAAAGCAGTAATTCTGCAGAAAATTCCACTCAAATTACAATTGCACAAAATGCTTGATTAAAACTTACACATGCAATACCAATAAGTAAAATGATTTTCCCCAGGAAATATATGATAATAAATATTATCGCCAGCACTGCCAAAAGCAGCGATCCTTCAGGAAAAAGGCAGCATATGATATACACTAAAGCCACAATCGAGATCAAAACGCCCGAGATGCCGATAAAAATGCAGCCATAGTATAGGTTTATGCAGCACAGAAAACAATTTTCGGATAGGTACATTTTATAAAAACCACATTACTTTGAATTTCAATTTGAATTGTTTGACTTTTGGCGGGAGGCTAACTGTTTAAGCCGCTTGATGACGATATATCGTGTAAGCTAATCGGTTTTGCGACGATAACACGATAACATCGCGTGGGTGGCCCTGTTAACCATTGTATCGATACTTTTACAAAAGAGCATTGACTACTCGATAGTATCGCTCGGTTGATAAACAATGGAAAACAATGGAATTACGGACATTTTAAGTCCGCCAGCAGCGAAAAAGGCCAAAACGCAGCCACTGGTCGACAGCTTTGACATAAAAGCCGTGCTGTCCGACGAATACAAAAAGGACATAAGCCTCATCCAGGTGCACAGCAGTCAAGTGGAGAGCAAACAGCAGCTGCAGGCGGTCATACAAGAGCTCGCCCAGAAATTGCCGCATTTTCAGCATTTGAAGCGCGTCCATGACAGAAGCGTGCTGATATGTCCCACGGCGGACATAAAGGACACGCTGGAGCAGCATCTAAAGCAACACAAAATCTCCGACAATGTGCTGGAGGCGCTGTGCCGCAACGTGAATGTCGTCCAGGTGCCCGCCGGCAGCGCCAAGCTGCGTATCCAATACGAGCAGATGATCAAATATTGGCCATGCAAATTTCATCCCGATAAATATGCCGAATCGCTGCAGAACGGCAGCAACTTTACGGCCAGCCAACGTGCCTACCACAAGCGCATGGCGCAGCTCTTGCGCAGCCTGTCCCAGGACGTGAATGGAGGCCAGCCCGTGGGCATATGCGTGGATCCGCGCAATCCCAGCATTGTGGCCATAGCAGGTGAGCATGTTTAAATGTTATAACAGGATATTAATTTAATCAAATCAATTCGAACAGCAGGCGGCGGCAGCGGGAGAAGCCATCAGCATTGCGTCATGTGGCTGGTGGATCATGTGGCGCGCAGTCAGCGGGGCGGCGCCTGGCAGACGCAGCTGCAGTTCGTCGAGGATGAGCCGAGTCCAAGGAGCACGCTGCGCGGCCTGCCACAGTTGTACTACGACTATCTGCAGCAGCACGAGGCTTGCCAGGATTTGCAGTTCGGCGCCGAGCTGCCGCGACGTGGCGAGCAGCCGGCCGCAGACGATCAACACGCAGACAATCTGACCAAATACGGACCCTATCTGTGCACCGGCTACGATGTCTATCTGCTGCGCGAACCCTGCCTCATGTGCGCCATGGCGCTGGTGCACAGCCGCGTGAAGCGCATCTTCTTTCTGGAGCAATCGGACAATGGCGCCCTCGCCACAAGCTTCCAGCTGCACTCGGTCAAGGAGCTGAACCATCACTACGAGGTCTTCCAGTTTACAACGTGACATGTTTCTTTTAACAATTTTTAATGCACTCAATAATAGATTTAATTGGACAGCAATGTGTCGATTCGTGGTGCGTCAAATGTGCTCCGGCTGGGGCTGGGGCTGGCGCTGGGGCTGGTGTTGGCCTGGCGCGTGGGCGACGATATCAGTCCGAGCAGCTGGCAATCTGCCTCCAAAATGGTTATGTCCTTGCTGGAGCCCAAGAATCTGGTGGACAGCTCCAGGTCCTTGACACGCAGGCGCACGCGAGCGCCGCGCACATAGTCGCTGCAAAAAATGGGCAATTGATTCTATTATCTACAAGCTCTCGCTGCCTGATTAAATGATTGATTGACTGATTGATTGTTACAAATTTGAGCCGGGCAATGCCGGGCTATGTCTGCTTGTTCACATATATATGTAGGGCCTGTCTTACCTGCCATTGCGCGCTGGTCGCGTGCAAACGCAATGAAATTTCCAGCCAAAGTCAATGTACAGATCCTCGCCCACAACATGAAATATTTTGCCGCTGATCACCTTGCCCTCGGCATCGCCCAGCTGCAATTGTTTGGGATTACATAAACACTCTGGAGTAGCTTTGGTTGCATTTCTCTACTTACATCAATGAACTTGGAATTTCGCAGCATTGATGCAAAGCTTTGATTGTCCACGGGCGCCGGCTCCGGCGTTGCAGGTGCCGTATATTTCTCGAAGGCGCGCGCGAAGCCTCCTTTGGCCTGGTTTTCCGGCTGCTCCGCGGTCACATTGCTGTCGCTTGTACTTGTTTCACTGCTATTTGCGCTAAAAGTGCGCTGTGTGGCGGATAATTGGCGACGCCAACTAGTCGGAATTGTAAACCTGCTTAGCTTGTGCAGCAGCGACATGTTTTTTATTTATAAAATATAAAAAAGAGTGTTTAACAAGTGTGCAATGCAAGTAAACCGATCAATTGCAAGTAAAGTTATCGACGCGCCGCCACATGCAGCCAAGAACAGCTGACTGAAGTAGACAGCGACTGTGGCGGTTATCGATAATTAAGCAATTATCGTTACGAATTACAAAACACGCTGTCTGGCCGGGCATATTTTTCTAGTTTATATATTACGAAATCAGCAGTTGCAGTTGATTTAAAGCCACATTTAACTAACAGTCAAAATGATACAACAACAGCGCCAGCGTGTCGAGTCGGCCGTCACCGAGCTCATCGATGATATGGACAAAACGCATCTGCGCAAAATGCAGGTAAATGCCGCACATGAAATCCAATTGGAAAACGTTACAAGCGTATTGTTGTTACTATTCCTAACAGACGGAAATGCATTTGTGTGCGGCAAAGTGCTGCCAGGATGGCACCTCCAGCGTAGACAGCGTGCAGCGCTGCGTCGACCGCTGCTCGGCGCCGATGACCCGCGCCCAAAACTATGTGCAACACGAACTGGGCGAATTTCAGGGCCGGCTACAACGTTGCGTCATGGTATATATCAGATATATATATATAGAGAGAAAGATAAAGATAAATAATGGCTATTCTTTTATTCCCGACAGCAATGCAATGACGATGTCAAAGTCAAAATGCCAGCAACACCCAACGAGGATCAAATTGCCAAGTACACGGATCAGTTCGAAAGATGTGCCATACAATGCGTGGACAAGCATGTCGGCCTTATACCCAATCTGATGAAGACCATGAAACTGGTTCTGGCCAAGGGACCCGAAGCAATACCGCAAGCCTAAGACTTTGTGTATATATATATGTATATATATATATATATCTTCATATACATATACATATATAGATGCATTGCATTTAAATTTAATTACCTTAATAGTTGAGCTCCTCTTTTCTAATGTCTGGCAACAGAATATTGTTAACTGAATCAAATTTTATAGCCTCAAATTAAATGCTGTTTTGTTTTTCTGAATTTTGGCGCCATAATTTAAAAACAAAGTTTGTTTCACTTGGCATCACGTTTGCTTTACTTTATTTGTATCAGCACTGAGAGGGCATTGATATACTACATATATATGAACAGCAAAAGAATATACTTTTATTTGTTTTCCAAATTCATTTAATTTATACGAAATCCAATGGTGGAACAACAGAAGCGGCGCCTAGAGAGCGCCATCAGCGACATGATCGAGGACATGTATCGCTCCCACTTGCGGCGCATGCAGGTGAGTCCGAGACGAGACGAGACGAGGGAGGAGAGGATCTGCCCGGAGCTAATGAAGCAACAACTAACTTATCTGCAACACAGCACACAATGCATCGCTGTGCCGCCACCTGTTGCGATGATGAGCGCGGCACCTTGGACAGCGTCCAGCGCTGCATCGAGAAGTGTGCCTCACCCCTAATGGACGCCCAGGACTATCTGCAGAACGAGCTGGGCAATTTTCAGAATCACTTGCAGAGCTGTGTCAAGGTGCGTACACACAAAACGATCATCAAGACTCAACAGGCAGAGGGTATATAAGCTATATATGCTCGATCCTTATCAAGCGCAGATATAGTATAGGGTATACCCACGTGGAAGAAGAGCGCTAGCCAAGCTATATATGCTCGATCCTTATCAAGCGCAGATATAGTCTGTTGCTATGCCAAACTAGTCTCTCAATTTTTGAGCTATCTATCTGGGTCTCTTCCCAACATATTATGATTATGTATATTAGGTTTTTCGATGGGGAAACATTAGTGTAATTTCTTATCAACATCTGACTGTCAGTCGAAAAGTAAGTGTATATATGGACAACTTTTTTCAGATATTTTAAACAAACTCAGCAGGGAGAAGCGACCAAATCGAAGCCCTTTTATGATATTATAGGAACAGTCGTAGGAAAATTGAGTTCTTTTAGAGGTATCTTAACTTATAGAAAACTTCTTAGCATAATGAAATCTCATACGTAACTCACCTGTCTGTTATGCCTTGCCTTGCCTATTCTGTTCCTTTCCAGGAATGCAATAGCGATGCACGCTCCAAGTTGCCAGCAAATCCCAACGAGCGCGATATGTCCCGATCGAAGTATCTGTTTGAGACCTGCACCGGGAACTGTGTGGACAAGCATATCACATTGTTGCCCGGGCTGATGAAGAACATCCAGAAGACACTCGACCGGGGTGTGCCGAGGCGATCTCATCTGCGCGATCAGAAGAATCACGATGCCTGAACACGATCGAGTTCTTCTCTTATTATTATTATAATTCCTAGTTGAAAAGAGAGAGTATATTGTTTGGGTTTTTACTTTTGCTGACATTTGTGAATGCGTATGTAAAATGGAAAGAGGAAAAATAAAGAGTCAAGAAAAACAGCAGCAGCTCGTGCTAATTTTCTACTCTGTTTTGTTTTTTCCAAATCCAAGCCCTGGAATTGATAAGCTCTTGTTGCCTGGAGGCGGGTTCAAGGCGTAATTGATAAGATTGTTTTTTTGGACATTTAGCTTTTGTTGTTGTTTTTGTTATGTGTCAAATGGGAACATGTAAGTCGTATTTTTGGTATAGCTAAGACTTAAATATATACATAGACGTAGGCGAATTATAAACTATATAAACTATATAAAAACTAGGGAAGTGTATTGCACAATTCTATTGGTCCGTTGGCTTGGTTCGAACGCCGTATTTACTCCAGAATGTCACCTTGGCCGTGGCCTTTTTGCCATTGTCCTGGAAAATGCTGCACGTGTCGAAGGGCGGACAGTAGAGATGCAGCGAAACGGCTGTATCCGCATGACTCGGATTCTCCACGCGATGCAGGCCCAGGTTATCTGAGAGCGTATCAGAGGAATGCATGAAATAAGGCATGATTGGGCAGCGGGTTAAGCACCTACCATTTATATAGGCCACGTCATTAACGGGTATGGGCGTCTCACCGATCTCCTGCAGCTCGTGATCGTTGATCTCCGCGTGATCGTGATCGTGTTCCGGCTGATTTTCGCTGCTCGTGGGTCGATTGGGATACCGGTAGCGTTTCTCGCGCAGCTCACCCTTGAGCATCTTCATGAAGCAATGCGAATCGGCATGATCGTGCACCGAGGAGCTGTGACCCTCACCCCAGCAGAGTATCAACAGATTGAACTTGCCGTTGCCGGCATCGACCAGATTGCGCGTATACGTGTAACGATCGAACTTGGCATATTTGCGCCATTCCTTCGGATTCGATTTGTAGCTGAGCATCAAATGATTGACCATCTCGATGTTCACATAGTTCGACTCGAATTCGCGATGCAGCGCCGATATCAGATCCGGCAGCGTCTCCACCTCGGGTCCGTATTTGAGCGGCTTCTCCAGAGCGCAATAATATTGCGTGGCCTGGCGCAGATATTTCTCCTGGTCGATGTGCTCGATATCCGTATCTATTGCATCGATTTTGGACAGGGCCATTTTGCACGTGCTTTGATTGACCTAACGATTAACAGATTGATTGATTGATTGATTAAATATATATAACTATTTATAGCTGCTTTGGGGGCTCAATCTGCTGACTGATCGATTCAATGGAAAATTACTGATCCAAGTATAGATTCATAATCGCTGTAAACTTACTTCTTGATTGATTTAAATGAATTACGCGCTGCTGTTGTTGTTGTTGTTGTTTTTCTGCTCTGACTGATAGCTGTATCAAATTGTGCTTTTAGATGAATCTCTGAATCTATATTCTATGTTCAGTATATTCCGATCTCGGACCACTTAACTCAAGCGACTGATTGCGAATGCTACTGTCAGTCAATAATCCGACAATTTCTTATAAATAATTACGTATATAGTCTGTACAAATAAAATAAATAAGGCATTATCAACGATCTCTGGGCTATACGAAATATGTTGCCAGGAGCGCAACAGCTGGCCCAGCTGAGGAGCAAAAAACATCCATTCGAACTGAGATTAGCGACCCGAATTATAGACTTTTTTGGTGTTCTTCTCTTAATGAGCCCCGAGCCCCATTGATAAGAAATTGAATCAAAATTGTTGTTCAAGCTGGCTGCTGACGCATGCCCCATCTGATCTGATCGGATCGGATCCGATCGGGGGGGGGAAACAAATATATTATTGTTAAGTACGGGCATTTACCAAGGAAAGGCAGATAATATTTTTTGCGTCATTTCTAGAATTTCTAGCGGATTTCCATTTCAAAGACAAGCCCAAATTTCTATTCAATCTCTGAAATTCTCAGATGAGTAATGCTTGAGATTGAAGAAGATTGAAGACAGGGATTTCTCGAGAGAAAAAAACCCCAAAGGAATTTGGAGCATACTTCACGGCGAATTCGAGATTGATTCTGAGGCGAAATAAGGCCAACTAAAAATCGAAAAGCTGCAGATATATATGCTGGATTATATTTATGGGGCTATAAAAGGCATTAAGCTAAGGTTTTCACCCCGTTTTAACATTTTAATGAGCCGTAAATGCAACACTTGAAATCGTGCGTTTATTACGTGTAAATAAAAAAAAGGCAGCTAAAAAAAAAACACACTTTACATATGCTTAATTACGCGCCTCAAGCTCACATAATTTTCGCCATAACTTGGCTGTTATTCCAAAAACAAAAACCAAAAAAAACTCACTCACAGCGTGTTGGCCAATTTCAGTTTTGGAAATTAGTTTTTTTTCTGCAATCGTTTTCAAACGCAGCAAAAACTTGGCGCACAACTTTCGCAACAGGTCAAAGGCCGAGCGAAAAACTGCATAAAATCGCTGCAGGCATTTTCTCCTACCCCCGCCCGCCCGCCTAGTTCAACAAACTGCACTGTGTGTGGCAAAGTGTGTTAAGGATGCGCTTTTTTTACTTACCATATTGTTTGTTGTTTGGTTTCTTCCTTTGAATCAAGTTTTGAATTGTGGGTAATTGTGTAGTATTTGCACTGCACTGCAACACTGTTAAATTGGTGGCTCTGCCAGTTGAATGCGGCGCCGTTCAGTTGGTTTGTGTGCGCGTTTTTGGTATCTTTCACCAATTTATGGGAATCCGTTGGCCCATGCAAAACGTCAGTTTTTCACTCAAAACGCAATTTGAGTGACATGCCCCGGACTCGAATGGCATTTTGAGCGCTTTTTGGCCGCTGCCGCTGCCGTCGCCGACGCTGGCAGCCATTGCTGCTGCTCAACCGTTGTAGTCGCTGTTGCTGCTGTTGTTGTTGTTGTTTTAGTTATTTGCATATTTCTTGCTTCTCTCTTTTTCTTTTCTTTCGGCTTTGTTTGCGTTGCTGCGAACCATTGAGTCGTTGTGACTCCCGTTGCTGTTGTTGTTGTTGTTGTTGTTGTCTTCGCCTTTGCAGACCCATCAGCAACTATTAATTATGAAGACGACTCGTTGTTGTTGTTGTTGTTGTTTATGTTGTTGCTGTTGCTGCTGCTTCTGTTGTTGTTTTTTCGATATTTGCAGAAGAAAGCAGCTATCATCGGCTCTGTGGGAAACCAAGCCTAAGAGATTTGCTTTTGTTGTTGTTATCTTAAATTTGGCCTGGGGTCAAATGCGGTTCGAGACGAAAACAATGTGTGTCAAGCGTTGTTTTTCAACTAGATAAAAACCAAAAAAAAAGTGAACAAACTGTAAATGTGGCGCACACATGTGAAGGGATTAAAGAGCACATCCTCTACTCGTCGTTTTTTCCAGTTATTTTTGCCTGCGCACTATTTTTAGCATTGACCCCAAATACACTTAACATTAGCATAAACTATTGACCTATGTATAGCTTTCTACATTCCATTCTCGAGTTTAATGAACCGTCATTTATGCTAGTATCTTGATTTATGGCACATGTTTTGGCCTGTTACACTTACATAGACATTCTACTACGAATATTATGATGCTAATATAATCAAAATGGTTTATACTTAAAAACAAAACTAAAAAGAACGAGAAAGAAGGGCAATCTTCGACACGCCGAAGATTTAATACCCTTGCAGACCGAACCTTTTCGGTTATCACGAATTCTGAGCACTTTGTGCTTGCTTCTTACGTCCATGTCCTTGTCAAAAAAAAAGATGTGATCGAAAGCGAACACAGTCGAAGAATATTTATATATATGTTTTTGATCCATCACACAAAAGATAAATTTATCAAAAGTTGCCTAACTATTGAAAACGAAAATACTATCGTGGTAGCTATATGCCGTTTCATACACCTGGGCTTTATGGTCCAGTCCGTTAGAAAATACCCAATCTATTCCAGTTAGCTGTTTTGTTGTAGGTACCCCACGCAAAAGAGACGATATACCAAGCTCGTTTAATCTAATTTCTAACTGGTCTCTAACTCTAGTTCGGCATAAATTGAAATCTCCCAAAATAACTATTTTACTGTGATTATTAAGCTCCTGCTCTAAGTGTTCTAAAAATAATTGACGAAATTCGGAAATGGAGAAGGACGGGTTTAAGTGTTCAAATATAAGGATCTGGCAAACTTTAATATGTTCCAGATTAATATTAAGCACAGACAATATACCACCAGGTGGTCTAGTACTACCTGTACACATGCTACCATCGATTCGACCGCGTATGTCAAAGCCGTCTATATTATATACTTGGCCTTCACTACTCCAAGTCTCTACAAAACATAAAATATCTGCTGTGTTTATTATAAAATCATTTGAAATGTCTAAACTATGGTTAAGTAAGCCCTCAATATTATGGGCAATATGTTAAAATATTTCCTTCTACTCTCTCAAATTATATCTGATGGTGGGTGGTCAATTTTTTCTCGCCCCAAAGTTTTTCCCACTCAATATGGACGGGATCGGTAGCTTGTATTTCTCTAGGCGGCTTAAACTTTCCTATGAGGAAAAGCCCAGATGCACTAGTTGCCCTGCTACAAGCTAGGTTTTGTAGGTTGCTCCCTGACTCTGGTGGATGGTTATTGCTTCAGCAGGAACCACTGGAAATTGCAAGAGTTCAATTGTTACTTGGTAATTTTTCCTATATTGAAATGTTCTTAAAACTCTTTCAATTGGTGTCCAATCAGAGTGCAAAGGATTTGATTTTTTTGCTCTTGCTTGCGCTTCCACAGTTGCTTCAGTAAATTTAAGCCAAAGCGTCGAAACTAACACATCAGATGACTTATAATGCTCATATCTAAGAAGCACAGATAAAAAAATCTTGAAAAACAAAAGAGTTTTTCACACAACAACTTAATTTTCGACTGATCGTTCCAATAGCAGCTATATGATATAGTTATCCGATCTTAATAGGATTTTGCATATATATGGAAAGCGTAGTAAAACTAATAAATCCCGAGTTTGGTCAAGATATCTTGAAAAACAAAAAAGTTTTTCATACAACAACTTAATTTTCGACCGATCGTTCCTATGGCAGCTATATGATATAGTGGTCCGATCCGATCGGTTTTGACATATGAACTGCGTGCAACAGAAAGAGAAACTTCTGCAAAGTTTCATAAAGATAGCTTTAAAACTGAGAGACTAGTTCGCATAGAAACAGACAGACGAACAGACTGACAAACGGACAGACGGACATGGCTATATCAACTCGGCTGTTGATACTGATCAAGAATATATATACTTTATGGGGTCGGAGATGTCTCCTTCTATGCGTTACACATTTCACGACAAAATTATAATACCCTCTGCAAGGGTATAAAAATAACAATTGTCGTCACTTCTGTAGGGAAAAACATAGCGCAAATTATCAACTAGTGGGAAATTTGATGAACTAGTATACAAGTTTCAACATATTCTTATCAGTCTATGTAAAATTAAATCTATATGTAAATTATAAAAACATTAAAAAAACAAATATACAATAATATATGTATAGCAATTTTTACATTTGCCTAACAAATGCGATCTATACTTCATAGATAACATTAAACATATATTAATCCACAATCAAGTCCGCACTAGAACTTGTTGCGTAATATATATAAGGTAATATATCATAAGGTTTTTGTAATATTTTATTCAGTCTGCGTATGGATCATGGTTCATCCACTGGGCCTTATAATAGTGCTCCAGTTGGGGCTATTCTGTATGCCTGTGAGTATATAAATTAATGAAAATCAAAATTACACAATTCTGATCTCGTAGATCCAAGCAAAGTTCAAGATCAACAGACTAACGTGCGCCGCCCATCAAAAGGATATAATCAGTTTGGAGCAGTGTCAAATCAAGGCTATAAATCGCAACAGATATGTCATGAACATGCGATATAAACTGATAAAAACCATAACAGAGGTACGCACTAAAAATATTATCTTCATACGAAAGTATTATCTTTTAAATGATTTCCTTTAGTTACAGGTTCATTTAAAGTTTTTCAAACGGGAACGTGGTGGATGGCATCCGTTTTTGTATGATACGAGTGCAAATATTTGCGAGTTCTTCAAGTTCCCCAAGAGATATTTACTGTTAAATGAAATGTTCAAGAGGTTGAAATCATATACGAACATGAATCACACCTGTCCCTATATGGTAAGAGTTTCTACTACTTTCTACTTTTGACTTACTTATCTGCATTTAATTGTAAATTCCTTTAGGCTAATACAGAAATTCAGATTATGGACGGGACCGTGCATGATAATATTTTAAAGTCATTTCCCGTTGATCCTGGGGAATATGCACTCCACACAACTTGGTATCACAATAAGAAAATACTTTTTCAAGTCAACGGTTCGGTTATTTACTCCGACTTGTTGAGAAATATGTAGAGTAATCTTTACTTTCTTGGTATTAGACGAAAAGCAAGGTTTGTGTAGAGATTGATCGCCATCAAAGTCTATTATCTGGAAAATACATAGATAAAAACATATTACTGGCAACTTAATCTAAACTTAGTTAAAGTTTAATTTAATCAACCTACCTCACTATTAAGTCGTTTAAACTCTGAAATGCCAGCTAAGATCTTTCGCCTGTAAATAACAGAGCAGCATAATTAGGTTTCTATACCTAAGTTAACATGTTGGGTAAATAACAGTATTAACATTTGTTTACATTTTACATACACTTTGCAATATTAACAGACAGGAGCAGTTGCCTAACACTGCACGCAATTGCGTCTGCAATGCATAACATTTGTTTACATTTTGTTTAGTTAACATAACATTTAATGTAATCTATCTATATATGTAATTTATATATATGTATTTGCGATCTATACTTCTTAGATAACATTAAATATATATTTATTCACAATTAGATGCACTAGTTTTTTTTGCGTATTCATGCAGAAATTTGTATCTATATTAGTGCTCCAGTTATGGTTCTTTTGTATGTAACTATCTTATATCTATTAATATTTAAATGATTTCCTTTAGTTTAAGCTTAATTTTAAATTCTACAAAAGTTAACGTAATGGCTGGCATCTTTTTTGTATGATACGAATTCAGATATATGCGAGTTCTTCAAAAACCGCAAGAGATTTGTGCTGGTAAACGAACTATTCAAGAGGTTGAATGGATATACGAACCTGAATCACACCTGTCCCTATATGGTTAGATATTTTTCTACTTTTAATTCACTTATCTGCATCCATTTGTAAATCCTTTTGTGTTAAAGCTAATACAGGTAGGTGGAAGGTTCCTGATATTATGTCACAGCAATTTCCCGTTGATCCTGGGGAACAATGATCCTTACCATAAGAAAATATTGCTGCAAGTCAACGGTTCGTATGTTTACTCCGACTAGTTGAAAAATTTCTAAAGAAATAGTTTGGTATTAGCAAAAAACACACATACATATATATTTTTTGGTGTTAGACGAATGACTCTTTAAGCTTAAAATTAATAGAAAATACAATGTTGGTTAAAAGCAAACTAATCATCGTTCTCGGACATATCAAACTGATCATCATCAAAGTCTATTATCTGGAATATAGATAAAACATATTACTGGCAACTTAATCTAAACTTAGTTAAAGTTTGATAATATAAACATATATTTTTATATATATTTATATTATCGAATACCTAGATAAAAACCAAAAAAAAAGTGAACAAACTGTAAATGTGGCGCACACATGTGAAGGGATTAAAGAGCACATCCTCTACTCGTCGTTTTTTCCAGTTATTTTTGCCTGCGCACTATTTTTAGCATTGACCCCAAATACACTTAACATTAGCATAAACTATTGACCTATAGCTTTCTACATTCCATTCTCGAGTTTAATAAACCGTCATTTATGCTAGTATCTTGATTTATGGCACATGTTTTGGCCTGTTACACTTACATAGACATTCTACTAAGAATATTATGATGCTAATATAATCAAATTGATTTATACTTAAAAACAAAAAAGAATAACAACAATTGTCGTCACTTCTGTAGGGAAAAACATAGCGCTAATTATCAACTAGTGGGAAATTTGATGAACTAGTTCAATGAACCGAAACCATACAAATTTCAACATATTATTCTTATCAGTCTATGTAAAATTAAATCTCTTTATGTAAATTATAAAAACATTAAAAAAACTAATATACAATAATATATGTATAGCAATTTTTACATTTGCCTAACAAATGCGATCTATACTTCATAGATAACATTAAATATATATTAATCCACAATCAAGTCCGCACTAGAACTTGTTGCGTAATATATATAAATGTCAAATCTCTTCTATATATATCATAAGGTTTTTGTAATATTTAATTCAGTCAGCGTATGGATCATGGCTCATGCACTGGGCCTTATAATAGTGCTCCAGTTGGGGTTATTCTGTATGCCTGTGAGTATATAAATTAATGAAAATCAAAATTACAGAACTCTGATCTTGTAGATCCAAGCAAAGTTCAAGATCAACAGACTAACGTGCGCCGCCCATCAAAAGGATATAATCAGTTTGGAGCAGTGTCAAATCAAGGCTATAAATCGCAACAGATATGTCATGAACATGCGATATAAACTGATAAAAACCATAACAGAGGTAGGTATTAACTCTACACCATACGAAAGTATTATCTTTTAAATGATTTCCTTTAGTTACAGGTTAATTTAAAGATTTTCAAACGGGAACGTGGTGGCTGGCATCCGTTCTTGTATGATACGAATGCAAATATTTGCGAGTACTTCAAGTACCACAGGAGATATTTACTGTTAAATGAAGTATTCAAGAGATTGAATGGATATACGACCATGAATCACACCTGCCCCTATATGGTTAGAGTTTTTCAACTTTTGACTTACTTATCTGCATTATTTTTGTAAATCCCTTTGTGTTTAGGCTAATACAGAAATTCAGGTTATGGACTGGACCGTGCCCGATAATATATTAAAGCCATTTCCCGTTGATCACGGGGAATATGCACTCCACACAACTTGGTATCACAAAAAGAAAATACTTTTTCAAGTCAACGGCTCGCTTGTTTACTCCGACTAGTTGAGAAATATGTAAAGTAATGTTTACTTTCTCGGTTTGTTTAGCGATTGATCGCCATCAAAGTCTATTATCTGGAATACACAAAGATAAAAACATATTACTGGCAACTTAATTAAAGTTTAATTGAATCAACCTACCTCACTATAAAGTCGTTTAAACTCTGAAATGCCAGCTAAACCTTCCAGATCTTTCGCCTGTAAATGACAGAGCAGCATAGTTAGGTTTCTATACCTAAGTTAACATTCTGGGTAAATAACAGTATTAACATTTGTTTACATTTTACACTTTGCACTATTAACAGACAGGAGCAGTTGCCTAACACTGCACACAATTGCGTCTGCAATGCATAACATTTGTTTACATTTTGTTTAGTTAACATAACATTCAATGTAATCTATGTATATATGTTTTTTATATATATTTGCGATCTATGCTTTTTGGATTTAGATTAAATATATATTTATTCACAATTAGATGCACTAGTTTTTTTGCATCTATAATAGTGCTCCAGTTATGGTTCTTTTGTATGCCTGTGAGTAATATACAAGTTAATGGCAGCTAAAATAACAAAATACTGACTCCTTAGATCCAAGCAAAGCTTAAGTTCAGTTTAAGTTAAGCTTCATTTTAAATTCTACAAGCGTAAACGTGGTGGCTGGCATCCGTGGTTGTATGATAAGAATGCAGATATGTGCGAGTTCTTCAAAAACCGCAAGAGATTTGTGCTGGTAAACGAACTATTCAAGAGGTTGAATGGATATACGAACCTGAATCACACCTGTCCCTATATGGTTAGAGATTTTTCTACTTTTGGTTCACTTATCTGCATCCATTTGTAAATCCCTTTGTGTTAAGGCTAATACAGGTAGGTGGAAGGTTCCTGATATTATGTCACAGCAATTTCCCGTTGATCCTGGGGAATATGCACTCCACATAACTTTGTATTATCATAAGACAATATTGCTAGTTGAGAAATGTCTAAAGAAATGGTTTGGTATTAGCAAAAAACACACATACATATATATTTTTTGGTGTTAGACGAATGACTCTTTAAGCTTAAATATAATAGAAAATGAAATGTTGGTTAAAATTCAATCATCACTCTCGGACATATCAAACTGATCATCATCAAAGTCTATTATCTGGAATATAGATAAAACATATTACTGGCAACCTAATCTAAACTTAGTTAAAGTTTAATTGAATCAACCTACCTCACTGTTAAGTCGCTTAAACTCTGAAATGCCAGTTAGATCCTCCAGATATTTGGCCGTTTCGAAGGTTTTGAACAAAAATGCGTGACCCTCGCTGCGATAAGCGGCCAAAACGCGCTAAAAGAGGGAACAAGGTATACGTTATCTGTACATATCTACATATATATTTATATATATTTATATTATCGAATACCTGCGAGCAGGCAATGCACTGCGCAAACTTTTGTGTGGCAGGCAAAATGTTCTCATAGTTGCACAGCATGCCGCGTATGGAGTGCGGCAAGATGCCCAACAGTCCTTCCGGCAGTTGCGGCGTCTCCTGATGCTGCTGCTGACCAGCTCGAGTGTTGGCGTAGTAGGCGGGCGCCAGCTCCCTTTGCGGATGCTGCAGCAGGGCCACCAACAGCTCCACCGCATAGCTGGCCGCTATGTTAGAGACGCCGGGTCGCGTAACAGTGCACTGTTGATCCAGTGTGCGATCCTTAAGCGACTGTAAATAACAGAATAACAGAATATGTTTACATTTTTGTATGAGTTACAGCTGTAAAGGTACAGCACCTGTTGCCTAACACTGCACGCAATTGTGTCTGCAGTTCATAACATTTGTTTACACTTAACATTTACTTGCTTTATTAACAGCATACAAACTGTAAGCTTGGTATGCAGCTAATAACATTTATTTACATTTTGCAGGGCCCAGCTAAGCTTTGCTCGCTTTTTAAACAGCATACGAGCTTGCGCAAGCTTTTTGGTATCGTTTTACAGTGTCAACAAACGTTGCAGTGAGCTTTACAAATATACATATATGAACAAAATGACTCCCCCCACGATAGGTAAGTCAGCTGAGCGTGCGAGCGCCAAGTAAACAATTAAAACAACAACAAAAAATTAAAGGAAAAACAACAAAAAATTAACTTAAATAATAAAAAGTACATAACGCAAAGCGGAGCGGACTGGAAGTGGACGCTTGCCACAGCTCTCGAGTCGTTTACTGATTAGATAAAAAAAAGCAACAAAATTCTAATGAGCGCCAGCCGCAGCGCTCAGAAAGAAATATTGTTTTCATTGAACGTTCCGTGAGATAATGTCGATTCGCCCAGCCGACAACATCGATAAAGTCTAAAAAAATCAACCCGAAACAACTATAACAATAATAAATATTGCTTGAAAATGTTAACAGAGTACTCGGGCAATCTGTCGCATCCCCTGGAATTCGGCCATGTGCTGGAAATTGTGGCCAAGACAATTGACGGAGCCGCCCGGTAAAGTACACCCCAACCCAACCCAACCCCACAGAGAACATGACTAAGTGTACTTGGGTCTCTTATCGGGGCAACATGACTAACTCGAACACCCGCAACTAAACAATTGTATAACCCGCATTCTAGGTTCCACATCAATTTGTGCACGGCCAAGTCGACGGTGAATCCGGACGCGGACATTGGATTACGTTTCTCCTGCTATTTTCGCAATGATACGATTGTGCGCAATGCCCGACTGCAGGGGATTTGGGGCGAGGAGGAGACGCAGGTTATGGACAATATAACCCTGCCCAATCCGATTGTCAGCGGCGAGTTCTTCATGGTCTATATCTTGGCCTGCGAGGATTGCTTTCACATATCCATCAACAGTCGCGAATTCTGCACATTTCGCTATCGCTTGCCATTGAATGCGTTACGCGCCGTCGAGATACGCGATCAAATCCAGGTGATCAAACAGGTCGATCATCGCACCGTATTTCCCAATCCCTGGCCGGCCATACATGCATCCGACTATTTCAAGGCCTTCAGCAACGATCAGCCCATACTCTACAGTCCCGGCCATGTTATTGTGATCACGGCGCGTTGCTTCGAGAACAAACGCGGACAGTTTATCATCAAGTTTACCGATTCGGATACGAAACGCGAGGAATTACATTTTAGCGTGCGTTTCGATGAGAAGTCTGTGGTGCGCAATAGCATGAACAAGAACTTTGAGTAAGTCGTTTTACAACACTGCCAATTGAAAGCTTTAAGCGAACATTTCTTAACATTCGGGAACGTTTAAAGCTCAGCTGCTAAAGCGAAACTCAATTAAGCTCTCTTAAAGCTTAACCTATTGCGCTTTTCACATTAAGTTTTTTTCCAACACTACACAGAAGTCTCACTAGCGTATTGAGCACACATTAAAGCTCGCTTAAAGCTGTTGAGTGCTTTAAGTTGCATATAAAGTTATTTTACAAAACTAAAAAAGAAGAGATTAAAGCGCAACTTCATTAACAATAAAGTTCGCTTGAAGCTAGACTTAAGGCGCAGCTTAAAAGCCTTTAAGCGAGCTTAAATATATTGCTAAAAAGCTCGCTTAAAGCTTGACTTGATTTTATGAAGCTAAAACTTTCTCATATTTTTCCATGCAGATTCGGTAACGAGGAGCGCCACGGCGGCTTTCCCTTCGTTTTCAATCAGCAATTCAAACTGGCTTTGGCTTTTACGGAACGCGAAGTTCTAACCGCTGTGGACGGCTACAATTTCTTTAGCTACGCCTGGCGCACGCCCAATGCCATGATGAATCTGGTGGGCTTCAAGGTGACCGCGATCAATGGCCTCGTGGTGCAAATAACCGGCGTCGATCACGTCCAAACGGGCGATCCGACGTGCGCCGGCTTTGAGAAATATTCGCGACATGATTACGAGTGCGCTTAGCTTTAGGTTTCCTTTTTTTGTTTATAAATGGGTGCATTCTGTATACTACTAACTATATGCTATAAAGTCTGAGAGTTTTGTTAAAGTATTAGGTGAAAGCTTGATTCGGTTGGGTACTTACATTGCCCGGCGCGGTCACATCATTGCAGAAGTAGCAGCCCAGCTGTTGCCCACTGATGCACTTGAGTCCTTCGATATCCTTGGGACTATCGCCCAACAGCTCCCACGTGCCGCCATGCCGCATGACCAGGTAGCTGTCAAAGCCCAGCGCCGCATTGATGACAATCTGTGGGGATATGGGGATTAATACGGGTCGGGCACATTGCTAACCGTGTCCAACCTTTTGATATGCCGCGCCCAGCATCGTGGGCAGCCAGCGACTCTCGCGGGAATCGGTGAGCAGAAAGATGACATCATGCGCCTGCACTTCCCGCTCGATCAGCTGCAGATGCTGCGACGTTTGGGCGCGCAACGCCTCGCCTATGGTGTGGCCGGGCATGGGTATTTCCAGTACATAGCCCTTGGTCACGGCGCTGGGATTAATCTCGAGCAGATGCGCGGCAGCTGTGGGTGCCTTCATGCAATTGCCAGAAACTGCGTCCGCGTGCGTGTAGAGGCTCTGGCGCACCGGATTCGAGTAACCGACTTTGCCGCTGTCCAGCAGCGTGATGTGCTTGAAGCCCCAGGACTGCGGCAATAAATTACAATATATTTAACAGATAAATACGATATGGAGCCAGGTGGACGCACCAGCAGATTGCGGGCCACGGCACAGCCCAGTGTGCCGGCGCCGAAGAGCAGGCACTTGGTTTCTGCCAGGATATTCAAATTCAAATCCGGCACCAGGCGCCACTTCATCAGCTTCAGGTTCAGGTTGATCGAGTTCTCCGCCAATCTGTTGAGAATGTAAAAAATGATAACTAGGGACATTTGTGGATTATTGATGTGCAACTAACTTGGCCGGATCCATGCTGTCGCGCATATTGGCCATGCGTGGACCCATTTTGCCATTGCGATTCGCTTCCCAGCCGACAAACTGCAGCTGCGAGTAGCTGCATGCCTCCGCTTGGGACACGTGCCAAATTAGGCTGTTGTCCAGTTGCAGTTGCTGATCGTAGCGCAGACCCAAAAATTTGAGCGGTTTGCCAACCAGAGTGGGACTAAACGAGTGAAAAGTGTTTAAATGAGTCAAGTGTTGTTGTATAAGTGTAAGAAAGTGCCGCGCTCAACGCTCTTCACGCTCTCGCTCGCTCTCTCTCGCTCTCTGCTTTGCTCTCTTTTAGTGCACTCATCGCAACAACAAAAACAAGAGCTAATAACTATCGGATACCTGACAAATCAAAAAGAGAGCGTAGTGCACATTTTGAGTGCATATGAAAAACAACGGTAATTAATTAGCACATTAACTCAATAATTACCACTGCTGCAGCAGCAAGGCCACATAATTGCGCATTAGCCAGGCCGGATTCTCATACTCGCTGGGATCAGCGAAACAGTAATAATAATGCTCCGCCTGCTGCTCATCGAATTGGCTCAAGGCAGCGCTCAGGCTGCGCGCCTCGCACACCTCCGCCCCCTCGTTCACATACAGGACGAAAAAGTTTTGCGCCTCGGCAGGCAGCGCGCGTATAGCGTCGACGCAGGCGTCACAATTGGGCAGCGCTTTGAGTTTTATGGGGTCGCTTAGCAGCTGCAGGGTGGGCGTCAGCGGGCAGGGAAAGGCGAACCAGTAGTAATAGCTGTGGCACTTGAGGTCGGCAAACGATAGGACAAAGAAACGTGCCAATAAACTGGCATCGTTCAAGGCGCGTCCGCTGCTCATATCAGCCAAAAGTTGCCTGCCCTCATCTGCCAGCAGGGCCGTTTTGTCCAGGGCCTTGAACTCCTCAATTGTGTTTTTATTGTAAATATGCCCAACGGCTGCATGGCTGAATTTTGGTGGCTGCGCTTCACTGTGAATCGTTCGTTCGACTGTTAATTGCTTTGGCCTTATCAGCTGCCCCATTATTATGCGCTTACCTATTATATGCGCTGTAGTCGACCTCGAGCAGACAGCCGGACGCCTTGCGATTTGTGTAGTGGCCAGAAATTGGGCGTTCTGTATCGGACAGACGATCATAATCCAATTTCAGCTCGGCCAGTTTGTGCCAGAAGGTGGGCGACACAAATGACTCGAAAGGTGCGAATTGTAAAATTTTATTGTCGCTCATTGCGCTACTTTGTCGTTAAAAACAGTGGACCGATGCACACACACCCCCACAGTGCACAATATAAACAAACAATGGGGAAACAAGTGACAAGCAGGGAACGGCATGAGAATAAAACGATCAGCTGTGCGATGTGCAACACTATCGATTGGCACACAGCTTTGAAAGAGTAGGGTCACACTGACTACGGAAGTCCTGTTTGTTTCTTAAATATCAGTAGCTAGAGTATTTACAGTACTTAGAATTGGAATTTAATTGAGTTGCTAAAAATGCATCCGATTAAAATCGCACATTATATATAAAAATAACAAATTGATTCGATAATAAAGAGCACACTTTTCTTTTATCGATGGTCGCACATCGATATTTATAGAAATATCGCGGAGCACGCCATCTATAGCAAAACCCGATAATACAGTCGATTGTCTTGCAGCACGTCGGACTGGTGGTAGTAATTTTCGCAAAAAAAGTTGCCATACAGTCAGTAATTTATAGAGGTTAGTACAATAAAGGCGGAGAAAGCTCAGAGCCTACTACTAAGATTGTATTTAATTATAACAAGAAAATTAATAGAAGTGTGTAATATTGGTTTGAATTCTAATACAAAGTGTACTAAGGTTATAAAAAAGGCAAAAAAAAATTATAGCCTCAAAAACTTTTCCATGATGTACATGCATACATATGTACGCTTAAGACGTCCTCGTTTCTTCTTCGCACAGAACAGCAGCAAATCGACGTTAAATCAATAAATGTGAAATAATGCAGCAGTGTTTTGCCCTAACGGTGGGAATTCGTAAAGCTTAACTGAAAGAAAAATGTAAAATGCGCTGCATGAAATTGACAAAGAAATCGAAAAAAAAAATGATTCACTCAAAATACAAAGAAATGTGTATGTATGTATGTATGCATATACAGTACATACATACACATGTAGGTAGATAGAGCGAGAAGAGCAGCAGCAGCAGCACGGCAACGTCAAGTGCCAGCAAACAAAATGGCGTCGGCACACAGCGGAAAAACTGCTGTTGACGTTGCTTTGCTGCTGCTCTCGCTCCTCTCTTCTCTCTCTCCACAGTAAGGTTGAGTTTTTCGATTCGCTTTCAATGCAGCTTCATTTTGATTTTCCGTGTGTACGCTTTTATCTTCGAAAACAGCCACACACGTTTGCACGCACACACATGCGGGACATATTCATGGTGTGAGTGTGTGTGTGTGCACTTTGTACAATGTGCATGACGAAAGCATTGAATAAAGAGTGAAAAAAAAAAAACTAGTTGCAAGGCATATTGAAAACAGGCCGGGTTATGGCTTTAGAAGAAAACCAGGGCGGGTCATTGGATTGAATAGAGTAATTTACGCATTTACCAAGTAAAATTCAGTTTTATTGCCTCTCTCGCTCTGTAACTGTGTGTTTGTGTGTGTGTGTCATTGGAAACGGCATCAGGTTTTTTTCTAGTGGGATTTACTTAACGCTTGTGCACGACTCACTCGAATTGAGGTCAAAATCATCCACAACTGGGTCTCTTGACGCGGCATCGGATTTTAGTCTGTTCGGGTCGGGGTCGTCGACGTCTTTGCGCTGCAACGCTTGAAAGGGCGGAAATATGTGCACATTCTTTTGGGGTGGTTTTACACTTTGGACACTTTTGGGGGGTGTTTGGAAGGCATTAAATTGCAGTCACGTACACACACTTATATATATACATAAGTAAACTAAATGCAAAGCAGGCTCAGGGTTGCTTCAGATTGGGAGCTTTTGATATGCGGTATGATTCTCCAATAGGTACACACTCTCTTTGAGTGAAATTCGTTTATAAGCAAAAGTGTAAAAGTTAGCGTACAAATGTGATAATGTCCGTTGCGAAGTTATATATTTTTGTTTATGCTAAGCACTGCTAATCAACAAAACAACGCACCCATCTAGTACATTTTTATTGGGGTCAAAATACTTTAATTCGATGGCGCAGAGCGCAAACTGCGAACCAACAAAAGCTCTAGCAGAGGCCATAAACCTCCACACACACACGCACACAAGCAAAGGACACTGACACTGCGAAATTTTTGCGCGCTTGTGCGCAGCAGCAACGTCTAGCAAAATGAGTACAAACACACACGTTCGCAAATGTATGTATGTGTGTGTTTGTGTATATGATACGTGAGCATCCACATCCCAGTTTGATTTTTTACATATAGAGGAGTTCAAACTTGGCAAACGGAGCGCGCGCAATACAAAGAAAGAGCCAACAAAGAACAAAAGCGAACGACCTGGCAGAGCACAGCTGCCCAGTCAAATTGTTTGCTTATTAAAATCAATTTAAATGCATTAAAACTGTGTATTGAGCACCTTAAGTAATTGCATTTAATAAAATGCACTTTAGCTGCGCACTATAATTGTGCGCCGCAAGACGGCAACACTGTCACGCATCTGTACATAAACTTACACGCACACAAACATACATAAATACATACAATAAATTTCCCCAAGCTGAGCGAGAACACAGCAATTGCTTGTATATACATATATAAGTATTTATGTGTGCTTGTGGCGCTCAATTGCGTTGCGTCGTGTGTGGGGGAAAAGTGAAATAAACTTGAAGGTGTTTTGCGAGGTTATTTTCATTAAAATTCCAGTTTTATACTTCTGATAGTTTCCCATTGTCATCGGTCGACAACTAAGCGAGTGCTTTGGCAAACAACCGTTGTTTTTAGTTGTAAAGCCGAGCTTTTTTCATTTTTGAGTGTAAATGAAAACGAATGAGTGTTTTTTAACAGCTGTGCAGCAGCTTTATTACTCATTGCCCTGTTATTAACATACATATAAAAGGAACGAGCATAAACAAAAGTAGTCGTGAGTGTGAAAAGTAATTTCGAGGTAATTTGATTTATTTGGAGATTTCTTGGGTTGAAAATATTATTGTAATGTGTGTATAACTGTATATATCCTCTCAGTTTTCATTTGCACATTTGTCAGTATACCCCTGTACGTATGTATAATATTTAGACCATATCACACAACTTTGTCTCGTCTAGATTTTTGTGTACATATAATTTGAAACTTTCCCCCCTACTCAAACTTGTTTCTAATTAGATTCTTTTGGCACGGCTTCTTTCTCTATATATCAACAGGATTCCTATAAGTGTAAGCGGCAAGCAGCAACGGAGCAGGCAATATCCGATTAGACAGGAATCTATCTGACTATACAAATTACATTAGAAACCCGGAAGAGCGCACGCAGAACCTAACGAAGCAGACGTAGCAGAAGAGAAAGAGACTTAGGACAAAGCAACCGAAGGGAGCCCCATCATTTACAGCTATACATATACAGCTTAACATATATATATATATATATATACATATATATTTTGTGTGTCTCTTGTGTGCGTGTGTCTGTCTGTGTACTATACAAAATTTCTGTTTTGTTTCGCGTGTGTAGTGTTGTATAACAGCACAGGAGAACAGAGAGAAAGAGAGAGAGACAGATCAAACAGGATCCAATAAACAGAAGCACCGTAAACTAACAGAGCTCAACAACCCAACTACAGAGAGAGAGGCCTTCACGAACTCCGTGACGCTTCCAACTAAAAAAAGAGAGAGAGAGAGAGGAGGAGGAGGAATTGTAATTTTTTTCGCTCCCAAGTCGATAGAGAAAAATTATCACCATTCCACTATCAACGTACGACGCCGCTCCCCTTTTGCACACTTACGACGATAGTCCGCAACGTTGGGCTAACGGTACAAGCAACGGGCATCAGGCAGGCGTCATCATAGATCAGTTTCGCCACAGCGCCAAAACGATCACCATTGAGGGAGGCACCAGCACCGGTGACACGACGAGCATCGGCGGCGGCGTCAACGATTTGCGTTTGATAATAACGGCCCAACCAAACGATATTATCGAGCGCAATTACGACCAATTGACCAATCGCGGCGGTGGAGGCGGAGGCGGCGGCGCCGTTCTAGGCGTCACCAGCAGCAGCAGCGGCAACAGCAGCAGCAACAGCGGCAGCGGAGGCCAAACACCACCGACACCACAAACGACAACGGCGTCAACTGGCCAAAAGACTCTGCTCAACACAAGTCCCAATCTATTGCCCATAACCACTGCAACCGATACGTTCAACAATCTCAAGAATCTGGTCAAGATCGACAAGGGCACAACAAACGCCACGAATCACACGGGCGGCAACTATCGTGCCAACAAATCAGCAACTGGGAACAGCAGCAGCAACGAATCGCCGTTGGGCGGACGGAACGGCAGCCGTACGAGCGGAGGATCAGGCAGCGGCGGCGGCTCATCAGCAGTTGCTGGCGTAGGCGGACAAATTGGTGGCCCAAGCGGACACTACTCCACTGGCTATAATAAGAATACCGTCAAAATTCGTCAACACGATTCGGAGCTAAGCCCAAGACCTCGACGATCATATCAAAACGATTCGTCGTCGTCGCGTTACTATAACAAAAATAGTGACATTTTGGGTACAAGCGGCAACAACAACAACAACAGCAACAGCAGCAACGTTAACAGCAGCAGCAGCGGCGGCAACAACAGCGGCAGCGGCGTCGGCGGCAGTCAGCAAACGCTGAACGCTGATAGCAACTCGAGCAACTATAACGGGAGTCTGGGAGTCCATCGTGGTAGTCGCAACAACTATCACACGAGCTCCGATGGCGTCAGCTACAATCGCAATCTAAGCACCAATTCGGGCAGCAGCTATCGCAGCGGCGGGCGCTACGAGACGGTCAATGGCAATGGCAACAGTAGCGGCAACATCAACAACAGCAGCAGCAGCGGACAGCAGCAACAACAGCAACAACAACAGCAGCAGCAACAACAACAGCGTCATTACAGCAGCAACAACTCGGCAATTGGCAAGTCAAATTACGGACAACAACGCGGTAACAACGATGGCAGCAACAACAGCAGCAGCAGCAATGCTGGCCACAGCCTGAGCGGACGCTATCGCGACGACTACAATCGGGATAATCGGGACAATTATAGGGACAGCTACGCAGACGAATCGCCGGCACATCAACGCTATAGCGGAGGAGGAGGCGGCGCCGGTGGAGGCGGCGGCGGAGGAGGAGGCGGCGGCGAACGCAACGGACACGCATCATCAAATCGTTATCGCAGCAACAACAACGAGGAGCGTTACGATCGTGGACAAAGCTCGAGGCACCAGCAACAACACCAACAACAACAGCAGCAGCAACAGCAACAACAAAGCTACAAATCCACAACACCACCGCCAACAACAGCATCAGGAGGAGGAGCAGGAGCAGGAGCAGCAGGAGGAGGAGCATCAACAGCCACATCAGCACCAGCTGCAGCTGGACAACAGCAGCAACAACAACAGCAGCAACAACAACAGCAGCAGCAGCAACAACAACAGCAGCAGCAGCAGCCCATAACTGGCCGCTGGATACCGCCATCGCTGCGTCCACAGCATGGCCTGACGCAGAGCGAGAAAAATGATGCAGTTTTCCGGCGTGTGCGCGGCATATTGAATAAATTGACGCCCGAAAAATTCCAGGAGCTGAGCGATGAACTGCTCAAGCTCGATCTTAACTCAATTGTCATACTGAACGGTGTCATCTTGCTGATCTTCGATAAAGCCTTGGACGAGCCCAAATACTCGTCTATGTATGCACAGCTGTGCAAGCGTTTGTCCGAGGAAGCGCCATCATTTGAAAAGGATCCAAACAATTCGTGCACATTTCTGCGTCTGCTGATCGCCGTCTGTCGCGATAAGTTCAATAATCGCCTGAAGCGGGATGAGGCAAACGATAATCGACCACCGCCCGAGAATGAGGCCGACGAGGAGGAGCGACGTCATTTGGCCAAACAGCGAATGCTGGGCAATGTCAAGTTTATTGGTGAGCTCAATAAGCTGGATATGCTATCCAAGAACGTATTGCACGCGTGCATTATGGAGCTATTGGATAAGAAGAAGAAGCGTACGGCCGGTGCGCAGGAAATGTGCGAGGACATGGAATGCCTGGCTCAATTGCTCAAGACTTGCGGCAAGAATCTGGATTCAGAACAGGGCAAAGAGCTGATGAACCAGTATTTTGAGACGTTGGAACGTCGTTCAAAATCAACTGAATATCCACCAAGGATACGCTTTATGCTAAAGGATGTCATCGAGCTGCGACAAAATCATTGGATACCACGCAAGGTTGGCGGCAGCTCCGACGGACCCGTCCCCATAAAGCAAATACGCTCGGACGACGACTCAATCATCCGCACGCCATTCGCCAATCGCAATCGCGATATGCGCAACAATGATCGCGACAACGACAGCTGGATGAATCGTTTCCATTTGAATATACAGCCCGGCGGCTACAATGACATGTTCAGCGGGCTGAGTGTGACGGGCGCATCGCCAATTGTATCGCCGTAAGTATAGCCGGGGAAAATGGTTGACAAGACGATTTATACAGATATTTAATTCCCTCTCTCTCTCTCTCTCTCTCTCTCTCTTCTCCACAGTTTTGCTACAAGCGCTAACAATCGGGATCGGGATCGTGATCGTGATAATCGCCAGTACAACAATCGCGATCGCAATCGTGATCGTGACGGCGGCAACAGCGGTGGCAGCGGCGGCGGCGGAGGAGGAGGAGGAGGCGGCGGCGGCGGTGGCAACTACAACAATCGCTACAACAACAAGCACAGCAATCAGAACGGTGCTGGCAATGGCGGAGGAGGAGGAGGAGGCGGCGGAAGTGGAGGTGGTGGCGGTGGCAACAATCGCGACGATTCTCGCGGCAGCGGCGGCTCGCACCGGAACAACGATCGGAACAATGATCGCAACAATGACGGGCAATACGGCAGCGGAAATCAGCTGATGCTGGGCGGCAAAGAATTGGCGCCGCGTTTTAAGCGCAATTTGATGACAACCAATCAGGATTCGGTTGAGAATCTGCAAATGCGCCCGGCGGCCAACTCGTTGCTGTTCCGTGCCGCATCACAGAATCAGAAATTTCCGGCCACGCTGCCCATCTCGACGCCACCCAGCGGCAACTCCAGCACGCAGCAGTCGTCGTCGTCGCAGCTGTCCAACTCGCATTATCCGCTGTTGGGCACGCCCACATCGCATCTGATGAACAATCCGACGCGTCCATCGTCCACACCCTCGGCCGAGTATGGTGCGGCGGACAATCGTTCGCTGCTCGCGACCCATCAGCTGGGCGAGAAGAGCCTCAAGGCGACATCCTCGTCGCCCAACTTCGGCACAGCCGGCCAGTTAACTGCAGCTGAGCACAGCATGGAGCAGAAGAAGACAATTGCGGGCGGTGACAGCAGGGAGCAGCTAGCAAAGAATGGCGCATTCGAGCGACCCACAACACCGTCAGGCTCCTCCAACTCGAGCAAGCAGCAGCAGCAGCAGAAGAAGGACAAGGGACCCAGCAAGGAGGAGATGACTAAGAAGGCCACGGCCTACTTTAAGGAGAAGTTCTACTACGAGGAGCAAGATGATGAACCAACTGTAAATGATGAAATTACGATCGAAGAGCCAATCGAATCGGAAACAACAATGGTGGAAGCCACAAAACCGGATCAATTTATGGAACTGGTTGAGGGTTTCGTTGAGCTAAAACTGCCGGAGAAATCACTGAAGGATGTGTGCCTCAATCTGCTGATGGAGGTGCTGGACCGTGTGAATGATGTATACCTGGAGCGTATCGTGCGCTTCCTGCAGACATTGCGCAAACTGTCCAGCATTAAGCCGAATGTCATCGTTGAGATCTTCAAGCAGCTGGTGAACAAAATGAACGAGCGCGAGGCACTGAATCCACGGATAACCGCTCTGGTCGCCTCGGTGCTGAGCAAGGCGGTCTGTGAGCCGGCACTGATTAAGCTAAATGACATTGCCAACTATACGGACAATGGACAGCATTATCCGTTGTTTTTGCTCGTGCTGCAGCAGCTGCACAAGACAATTGGCAAGGATGCGCTCGAGGAGAAGTTCCGTGCCAGCAAAATCGATTTAATGAACAGCCTGCCCGAAGTGGATCGCAACAAGGAGCGTTTGGCTGAAATTCTCGAGGATCGACAGCTGTCGTTCCTCTATCCGCTGCTCAAGGTCCAAGCCGAGATGCTGAAGCAGCTGCAGAGCGATCCGAATCCAAACAGTTTTTACAAATGGGTCAAGGCCAATGTGGACAACAAATACTACAAGGATCCGGGCTTTATACAGGCCCTCATGACCGTTGTGGTCAAGTATATAACCAAGGAGACAACACTCGCCAGCAACATGGACCCCAAGGAGCATCCCGAGAAGTCGGTCACCCAAAAGGAACAGGCCATGCTGGAGACCTACAGCCAGATGCTGCAGACCTTCCTCAGCCAAAACGAATTGCAACTAATGGCGCTCTACGCCCTGCAGCTCTTCTGCTACAACGAGAACTTCCCCAAGGGTGAGATACACCATGAGATACCTTAAAGATCAATTCTTATTTTTACAATTTATATTTCAGGCATGCTTTGTCGCTGGTTTAAATATCTGTACGATTCCGAGATCATTGAGGAGGAGGCATTCGTTTTATGGAAGGAGGAGATTTCTGACAAATACCCAGGCAAGGGCTCGGCGCTGTTCCAAGTGAACGCCTGGTTGACTTGGCTCCAGGAGGCCGAATCTGAGGACGATGAGGATTGAAATACCCAATATGCATAATAACCACACACACACACACACTATATATGTAATAACACTTCTCTATATATATATATATATTTATTCGCAACCAGCTAAAACGTAAAAAAAACAACAAAAAAATTAACCTTCAACAAAAAAAAAGAACAAAAGGGCAAAAACAGCAAAAAAAAAAAAAACATTAATACATTATATAAAACAAGATGAAAGTTGAAATCGCGGTTGCAAATGTTAGTCAAATTATAGTAGAAAAAAAGCTACAAGTTTAATCCAAATTAATTGATATTCATTCAAGTTCAAGCAACTTTAACAATTAACCACAAATAAATAAAACGGCAATAGACGCAAACGTAATAAACAATATGATATTTAACTAAATACGATTCCAATGCGAATTTTCAGAGAACAATGAAATAAGAAAAAAAGCAACACATTTACAACGTATAGAAATTAATTAGTGAATTTCATTTCGAATGATCCAAGCGGAACTGATCTTTTTTAACAAAATGTTCTCATTTTTATATGAATTCCCCTTAATTTTATTTTGCTTTTGCTACTTGCACAGCCCTCAATTATATATTGTATTTAAGTAGTTCAAATCGAAAGGAAAACAAATAGAAAACCTGATTCTTATGTATCCATAAATGTACACAGCACAGCTCAAATGTTCGGAGCTAGCATCGAAATCGTAATATGTATGTATTTTAACTCGAAAATGAAATAGAAAACAAAAACTCGCCCACATTCAAATAGAGCCTTAATAAAATGAAAACAACACTGCGAACGGCGAATATTTTGCGTTTCATTCAATTCGCCTCAAAAAATTCAAGTTCAATTCGCCTTGGCGCCTAAAGCCAAGCGTTGCCCAACACACCTTTTGAGCAGCTAGCAGCCCTGTGCCACTTGCCCGTTTGGCAACACTGCGATCTAACAAAAAAACCTGCATTTCATTGTAAATTCTAGAAGTTTTGCATTTCTTTTCAATTTGTTTTTACCAAAAACGATAACTACACAAATGGAAAGCTGTGCCGTTTTACCAACACAGCAAGTGGAAGCCGGCGGCGATGGGCCCAGCAAACAACAAATGCCTTTGGGCGCTGGGGAAGCCTTCACCTCGCACATGGCTCAACTGAATGCGGGCGCTTTGCAGGTCACATTGCGCGTGCTCAAGATGAACGGCAGCACAATGCTCTTTCTCAGCGGCAAGGATGCGGAGCGCCTGGACGAGTTCGCCATAGCCATGCCGGCACGTCCGCCCAGCCAGCAAATAGTGTCCACCACATTTATGGGCGAGAGCGGGCAGAGCGATTCCGTGGTGCTGGCCACAAAGCTGAGCATGCGCTATCGCCGCCAGTTCTATGTGAGCATGAACCTGCGACTGGATAGCATGACCCGCACCCAGTTCGAGAGTGCCTTGGTCAGCTATATGCAGAACAACCTGGAGCTGTTCGTGTGAGGCAGCCGCAGCCGCTGTCTGTGTATTTATAATTGTGATTAAAGTCGCTTAAGCAAATGTATATTGCATTTATTTATATACCAATATTCCGATATTTATTTGTGAGCCACGCCGTGTGGGTCAATGCTGGGCGTTTATTTTGGTTGCCGGCGCCGGGACCCCACGGACATCGTTGGATGTGCTTCCAGCTCCGGACAACATTGCAGACAGTTCGAAGTGCGTCACAAGTTCAAACGTGCGCAAAATTCGTATGCTACGCGCTTTTCCATATTCATCAATAATTCAGAGTTCTGTTTTCCCTACGAGTAAGTTCCGTTAAAAGCCTCGAAACAGTGTTGCAAAATGTGTGTGCAGTGGTGGATATAGTTGGCCATGCTTAAAGGCCACTCGGTACAGGTGTGATTGGCCCTAAAAGCACGCACGTGTTGCGCTGCCTGCGGCTTATCGCTTTTGGATGTCAATGTCGTTCAACCCCCCGCCTCTTCCGAAAATAATAAAAAACAATAATATTCTGCTTGATAAGTCGCTCTCTTGTTCATTTCTTTTTTTTTTGTGCGCGTGCTGTGAACCTTTGCCAAAATGTAATCAAAACCAGAGATTGCATCAGTTTTGCTGTCTATTAAGAGAACTTTTATGCAATATATCTGTGTTTCTTTATGCTCTACAAGGCTTAAAGAAAATCATACGAATTTTTAAAAATTTAATAAGTTGTTGCCAGAATAACTTTTTCTTTCTGGCCTTAAAGCTCAGCTAAGATAAAACCCATTTAAGATCTTTTAATTCTGCCTAGATAAAACCCATTTTTGATGGTATTTTCCAACTAAACCTAGTAATTGGCCCTATTTAAACTGATTGGGTTTATTTGCAAGACCCAAGCGATGTTGTGGAAAATTTATAACAATAAATTTCATAAATTTTTGGCCTCTAATAATAGGCAGTCTAGACGAGATATTGTCAGCAGTATCAGCAACAACAACAACAACAACAACAACAACAACAACAACAACGGCAACAATAAATGAAAAAATAGTAAACCGTTTATAAATATAGCACATGGCACTAAGCGTCTGCTACCGCGGCTCCCATGAAAGTCTGGCAATGATATTTCATTTTCATTTTGACCAGCTCTTGTTTTTTTTTTTTTTTGGCATATCAAACCGTCTGCTGCTGAGATAACATTTGGGCCCAGACAATGTACCTGTTCGAGTTACATGCTCCAGTTGCATGGGATACTGTCAATGTTTTGGCCTGATGCGTTCTGGATTCCACGTTTGGACTTTGCACGTCTGTTGCTGACCAGCGTTTAGATTGCCGCCATTCCAGGCCATATCAGCAGTCGACTGACTCCACAGAAGTTTGCCTCCGATAGGGTCAAACGTACGGCGAGGGGTCCACCAAATTTATGGCTCCTTGTTTCCAGTTTTGGCATTTGCCAAAATCGAATGATTGACTTTAAAGCTTTGCTTTCTTCCGGTCTAAACCCGGAGACCTTGGCTAGTGCTGAAGAAGACAGTGTTGCACAGTTCCAGATTATTCTAGCAACTATTTCCTATTGCATCTGTCAGTTCTGTCTAAGCATAGACCCTACCGACTAAGGTTTACACTCGAAATCTTTAAGATTCCAAGGATTTTAAGCTTTGCTTTCTTCCAGTCTAAGCCAGGAGACCTTGGCTAGTGCTGTAGAAGGCAGTGTTGCACAGTTCCTGATTATTCTAATAACTATTTCCTATTGGATCTGTCAGTTCTGTCTAAGCATAGACTCTACCTACTAAGGTTTACACTCTCAATCTTAGCATTTCCTTTTTCAGTATTCAGGATCTCAACCCGGAAACCTTGGTTTTCGCTGGAGAAGTCAGTGTTGCACAGTTCCAGATTATTTTAGCAACTATTTCCTGTTGGTTCTGTCAGTTCTGTCTAAGCATAGACCCTACCGACTAAGGTTTACACTCGCTATCCTTAAGATTGTAAGGGATTCACGCTCCACGTGAGAAGGGAACAATAATATACGAAGAGACTGGAGTATTCGACCCAACTCTATATTCTACACCGGGTTTTTGACACTTCCAAGACAAATTCTGCGCGCATCTACCCACGTAACATTTTGTCGCATTCAAATTGAGAGGCTGGGCCTTTGATAAACCCCTAGCCCAAGCCGAAGCCCAGCTCGAATCTCGGATTGAGCGCACGCCCCAATGCGAGACTCGTTCCGGCTTATCGCCAAGAGTTGGCACCTTTAGCCAGCCCCAGCCCCAGCCAGTCAGCCAGCCAGCCAGCCAGCCAGACCCCTGGCGCTATCAGTTCAAGTATGTTGTTATAATTTGATAGAAATATTGAACATCATAATGTGACAGAGCCCCAAGTAACCGGATCGAGCCGGTTATTGTGTATTGTACTTGCCCAGTCTCAAGCATTCTATATGGCGCACTTGCTGGGGATTGTTTTGTTTTGTTTTTTTTTTTTTGTCTATTTTCATTTCTTATTTTAAATATTTTACTACGGAAAAATTAATAAAACAGTTTGCGGCGCACGCGTTCACCTCTAATAGGGAAGATTTCTGTCGCTGCTGTTTGCTTATCTCTGGAGGATTGGGTATGGGCATGGGTCTGGACATGGGCATGCTAGTGGTAGTGGGGCAGCTGTTAGACGACATGCGATGCCGGACAATTGTTGTTGTGGTAGCTGGCTGAGCTCGTTTATATGCCCGGCCCGGCCCGGCTCCAATATGGTCGCTTATCAAGCGCAGCTCGCGCCATACAAAGTTCACATTTTTTTTTATTTCAGGGGAACCAGAGAATCCAGATTTTTATTATTATATTTAAATATTATGGAAAATAAATATTTTCGTTCACGGAATATTACGCATGTTGTGCAATAAATTCAGGTCAAGGGTATCAATTAGAAGATCGCAACAGTCGAAATCAATGAGAAAAAAAACACAAATTGTTTAGAAAAATTTTCAAGAAATATTTCTAGGTCCAGTCAATACGATTGTTAATATATATTACATTCATAATTTGGTTTAAATTCGAGCTCAAGGCTTTACAGATCTATTAAGAAAACAAGAGTCGGCTGTGACCGACTAGGAGATTCCCTGTAACCCGCGCGGAGCTGCCGTCGCAAAAGTTCTAGCTTCCTTCTGTATACCCTTCAATCCTTAGCCCCTTAGTTTGGGATATGCTTTTGTAATGTTCTTCGATTTTGTATACTCAAATCATAATTAGGAGGAACTACATTCACAATATCAAGTCTCTAGCTCTGGAGGATTCTGAGAGCTTGACCGACTCGGCTATTGATGCTTAATAGTGAAATATTCTGGATCAAGAAATAAATATACTATTGGAATCGACAATGCTTTCTTCTGCCTGTTACACAGGTTTATAAAAAGTAGGGTATTCAAGTATGGTTAAATGCCTTTTTTATATACATTTTGATACTCCTGGGATAACTCTCTGGATATCAGAGAGATCTATCTACAGAATGGATTAGGATATATCTATATAATGTCTAAGTACATTCTGTTTGCACAATTTATAAATTATATAGATGTTTCGATATTCCCAGAAGCATTTTTAAGCCCATTGACTAATATGTGACTATTATACCCAAAATTCTTATAGCAGCCCGACCTTTAACTACAAATTCTCATATAACAGTCTTTACAAGAAGTCTTTAGTGTATGCAAAATTTTCCTAAGCTCTAGTAATTACTTCATATTCCCATATTGGAATATTCTTGAGAACTCTTAAGCGGTATTATAGGAAGTATATAACAACCATAAATTGGGCATAGTTAGCCTTTGGCTGAATGAAATTCTTTTTCTTATAGAACTTTGTTAACTTTGTATTATGGAAACCCTGATAAACTTCAGTCCAATAATTTTATCAGATTTTAATGACAATGCGTAGGCAGAAAAAGGCGACAACTGTACTTCGAGCCGAATAATTACAGTCCATAGGGCGATACCCCGTTCTGGCGTTCGTATCTGTAAGTTAATCTAAAAATAAATCATGACATTTTTTGCGCACTTCGATTACAGCTCTCTCGGTTGCACCTGCTGCATTCGACTGACATTGTCTTGATTTAGGCGGCGAGAGGGGGGAGGGAGAGGTGGGGGGAGGGGGTTGTAGGACAGTCGCCTTGAGCTAATCGTAGGCCCTGATGTCATACCATTTCCGAGTGGTTATTTATGTAAGACCCCCGCGATTGGAGTAGCAGCAGCAGCAGCAACAGCAACAACATATGAATTGTGATTCACTTCCTATCAAATGTGGCCAGACTGCGCCAGCTATAGCTGATAAGTTAACCACCCAGCAGAGCGTCGGCGGCGTAGAGATATGGCAGCAGTCCCAGTGTTTTACCCCCCCTCGGGTGTTTTGGCCTTCGGCTGAATGAACAGAACATACACGAAAGTAAACACAGTCGGCGGAGACGGCGTACCAGAGTTGCCCATTGATAAGACGGGCGGGCATTGGCAAATGTTGCTGCTGCCCCAAAATGTCAGCGTCATCGTGGATTGTACGCTATAGACTTGGCCAGGTCCGATCCGAACCGAATCGAATGCGACTCGGCACGATAACCGCGCCGCCGGCTCTATCTGTACGTAATACGGCCACCAGCTGGAGGGGATTTCAGTGACTTGCTTCGTGTTTTTTTTCTTTTTTTTCTGAGAGTACGAAGTGCAATCCGTGTACGGGCGATAGCACCCCCCATAGAGGCTGCTGCTGCTGCGGCTGATCATTGCCCACACACATGCCTCACACACACACACACACACACACACAGCCAGCTAGTAGAGCGATTTTCCACTGGTGCGTTTCGCTGATAAGCGCCAAGCCAGCCGCTTGTCACGCGCCGCCCGTCCCGCTGCCGCTCCGTCGGTGCGCAGCAGGGAGCAGACGGTGTTTCACTCACGTACATCATGTGTGCACTTGCCCCGGTTTGAGAACCGCCCCCGATCCCGCCCAGACCCGCCAGAGGTATCTGCTTCTTTTTGACATTTCTTTTTGTGATACGCACACGCAACTAACTTGGCCCAAATGCCGTTTCGGCACGGATGTCCGCCGTTGCTCGGCTCGGCTCGGCTGTGTGCTAACAAGCACCTGCACCCCGGCGGCCCCAGCGCCCCGTTGGCCTGTCTGCGGGCCACAGCCTTCGTACGTTCCTGATAAGCGTACGGCGCAGTCTCTCCTTATCGGCGCACAGAACTTTCAATATTACACGAATGTCTGCAGGCGAGCGGCTCATTCGTTTGGCAATCGCACTCGCGAACGCAACACACAAATAACCAAACACAACCTGAACACAATGGATATCTTAGTACAAAAGCCCAATTTCTGTCACAGCAGCAGCAGCAGCGAATACTACGAGCCGCCGCCGAGTAGCTACTATACGCCGTACAATACGCCGCCGTACTTAGCACAGCCCGGACCCGGCAGCTGGCTGGCCGAACAGCAGTTGCCGCAGATGCAGTACCTCCGATTTCCCACACCTCCGATCACACCGCCGCGCGCTGCTCCTGCTCCAGCTGCTGTTGAGTCCGGCTTGAGTCCACGCACGCAGTCCGTCATCATGAAGTGCACGAAGCAGAGCTCGACTTCCGGTTCCGGTTCGCCGACAGAATCCTGCAGCGAACAGAGCAGCTGCAGCGACTGCGACTTTCTCTGCAATTGGCACGATTGCGGCAGGTGAGTCTCGAGCATTCGACAGCGTCCCTTGCGACAGAGTTTACTGATGTTGCTTTCTCCGGTCTGTGCAGAGTTTTTGAATCTTTGGAGGCGCTGGCCCAACACGTCACCTTACGTCATGCGATCGCCTCGCTGCTCGATGGCCTCTACTATTGCCGCTGGAGCGGCTGTCAGCGCAGCGAGCGCGGCTTTAATGCGCGCTACAAGATGCTCGTCCATGTGCGCACCCATACCAAGGAGAAGCCGCATCGGTGTCATCTGTGCGAGAAGTCCTTCTCGCGTGCCGAAAATCTCAAAATACACATACGCTCACATTCGGGCGAGAAGCCCTACAAGTGCCACTTCGAGGGCTGCCTGAAGGCCTACTCGAACTCCTCGGATCGGTTCAAGCACACGCGCACACACTCCATGGAAAAGCCGTATATGTGCAAGGTGCCCGGCTGCCAGAAACGCTACACAGATCCCTCCTCGCTGCGCAAGCACGTGAAGACCTTTAAGCACAGCATTCAGTTGATTCAGAGCCAGACTTCCACCTGCATGCTCGAGGGCAACGAGTCGCCCTACACTTGCCTGCCGCTGGCACAGCCGCAGCCGCAGCCGCTGCCAGCGCCCGTTGCCGCACCACAGCCAGACCCCACCGCACCCAGAACACCCTACTATTTGGACATGGCTGAGCGTGACAACGTGGCAAGCGACTATACGCTGCGACCCAAACACAATACAGACTACTGGCTGAGCACGCGGGAGCACAATTATCGCTATCTGCACAGCGAGGACTTTTCTATGGATATGGAACTGGACTTACCCACGCCGCTTGATCTGCGCGTGCACAGAAGTTGAAGGCCATGCCGGGCGATTCACTCTAGTCATCAGGCTAACACACTAGCTCTTGTCATTAATGTTAAAATTATCGTTTAGTTTTCAATAAAGACTGTTGTATGTAATTTGCATTGAATTGCGCATGAAAAACCTACGAAACTTTATATAATTTTACTCAAAATTCCGCACAGATTTAAATTCCGTTATACTGAACATATGAAAATTTCGCCAGTGCCGCAAAAGCAAAAAAAACAGTGTTGTGTAAGCACTGCACAGCACAGCTCAAAAGTAAATCGATAAACGATATGTTGGAGGCACGCGCCATATTCAAACTGGAAGCTGGCAGCTGTTCAAATTAAAGGTGTCGATTTTATTGATGTAAATGCGCATCTAGACGAGAATTTTGTTTTTACAACTGTGTTTATCATATATTCCATCATTTACAATATATAGGAATGTTATCTTAGCTAAGACTACAACTCGATCCATACACACACGCATACACAAACAACAAGAAAAATGGTGAAATAAATAGTAAAAAAACGAGTTCACAAATTAAATATGCTATATATATAGATACATACTTTGAAAGTTGTATTTTTCAATTTGCAAACATACTGAGGTCCTCTTGTCGAAAAGCAATTGGCATTGCCAGAATAAGAGTTATAAGGAAACAAACAAGTTATTATTCAACTGAAGTTATTGAGCATTTAAGAGCCAGTAACAACGGTATAAATAGCACAGATTGTGCTTGTATTTTGTTATTTTTTGTGTATAATAATACATACTTTCAATATGTACACGCACAGAGCAGCAAATCACTTGGCCAGTTCTCAACGCTGGCCGCCAATCAACCAGATTTCATAATACATTATACAATATATATACTTTTTACCAATAAGCAAAGCTATGGGCTGCCATTTAGAATTACGCCCTAAAGAATCTTACAACTCGTACAATATATTGTCGACAAATCGGGCACTCGTTTAGCACCTTTCCGCAATTGGTGCACGTAGCCATATGACCACATTCCAGAAAAACGCACTCAATGGGCGCATCCATGCATATCTTACAAAGTTCATCCGTGGCAAGTTTCTCAACAGCTATATATATATATATGTATACGGATATAGATAGAAAATTTTGATATATAAGGGCTTGCTGGACTTACCTGGCGCTGTGCGCATAGTCTTCCATAGTCTGCAAACGCGATCGAGCAGCTCCTGTTTCTCGCAGCAGCCTTTGTAGTCAACACGATGCAACATTAGAACCTCCTTTAACTGTTTCACCGTTAGATTCTCCAAGTCTTTTCTGTGGGTGCACGAAAAATACATTAGCAATATTATGAATCGATGTGCCTTTCCACTTACCGATCCTCAAAGTCTTCCAAGTTCACGAAGCGCGAATCCATGCTGTTGCCCGGATCAAAGCCCAGGGACGAGGCATACACATGTATGCCCTCGTCATCATCCCAATGCGTTTCGTTATCATCCTGTGTGGGCGAGAACTCAATGGTCGGTGTTATCGGCATGTCGGCGGCACCAGCGCCCGCTATGCTGCCCGCATCTGCACCGCTCAGCGGCGAGATGGCATGACTGTCCGCTTCCGAGCAGTCCAAGGACTTGGTGCGCTGCTCCAGGTAACTGAGAAACTCCTGCAATTCATGCTTGATATCCTCCTCAGACATTTGCGAATTCTCCAAATGTCGACGCATCCTGTCCACATGTCGGCGAATATTGGTTTTATTCTTGCCACAACGCTGACAGCTGCTGCTGGAGGCTGCGCCCGGCTCAGGCTGTTCGCTTAGTGTGCTCAGTGCCAATCCGCTGGTCGCAACTGGCGATTCATCATCGCTGGAATGATGGCGACGATTCAGGTAGCCGTCGGAGCGACGTCGTGTCACCTTCTTGGTGCGCTGTGGTGCCTGCGGCACGGTGACAGTGCGCTGCTCAAAGCTAGGCGCCTCGCCGGGCACATCCCGCACCGTCACCTCCAGAATTTCCTCAGTAGCCGCCTCAGCTTGCGTGGGTGAGGCCTGCTGCTGCAGCGCTTGGCTGCTGCTGCTTGGCGCAGTTTGTTCCAGTATTTGCCACTGATCCAGGTTGCTGCTGTTGGTATCGGTAGCCGCTTTGCTCTCGTCTGAAATGCCGCCAATGGCGCCCAGCTCCTCGAAGCTGGACTGCGACGAGGCGTCTGCACCGCATGCGTCCACCTTGGAGCTAAGGGAGCCCTGCTTGGAGAAGCCAGGACTGGTGCTTGTGGTTGTTCCTGTTGTGGTCGCCGTTGCTGTTGTCGTCGTCGTCGTCGCACCCAGACCCGCTGTGCTTGTCTCCAAGGGTGGCCTGCTGAGGCTTGCCTGGCCAGCGCTGTTCTCGCTATTTTTGAGCGATGTGCGTTCACTGAACGTGGTTATTATCTCATCATCCGAGCATTCACAATCCGAGTTATCACGCTCAATATTGTGCAGCAGCCTAGCCGCTTCTGTGGCCATCACAGTCACAGATTTGAGCTCCGGTGCGGCCGTGGGCGATGTTGTCGTGTGCGTCGATGAGGTCGATGGACTGACATGCACATGCGCCACCTCCGTGGAGTTGGTTCTCGCTGCGGTTGGGGTGCGTACAGGTGTCTGAACATGAGCTGCACTCGCGTACGTTGGAATTTCGCGCGTGGACACGCGCGGCTGCTCAAAGATGTGCGTCGGCGCCGGCGGCGGCGGCGGCGACGTCGTTGCTCCATTATCATGGGATGCATGACGACTGTTCGCCCGACTGTTGTCCGTCGTTGATTTAGTATTGGACTTTGTGTCAAAGGACGCTAAGGAATCACTGATATTGTCACTCAGATTGGTGAAAAAGTTTTGGCACGTTTGCTTCAGACTGTCCATGGGATTGGCTTGGCCACGTCCGGGACTATTGTTGGGCGGCCGGCCCGTATCGCGATCCGACTGCGCGACATGTGCCAGCACCAGACCGACCAGTTCCTCTTTCTCTGCAAGTCAAAGCCGTATACATGACATATATTTTTTCTGTCGTGCAGCTGCATTGACTCACCCAGGCAGCCTTCAGTGGAAATGTGTTTGGATTGCAAATAGAATATTAAATCCTTTGGCTTTAGTTTCAACAAATCCGCGTGCAACAGCGGCCGTTGAGCAAATATTGCACATCGCTGGCAGCGGCGCGCCGTCGTCGCCGTCAAGCAATTGTTGCAGTAATAGCGCCTGCAAAGCCAAAAATGGTAGCAACATCAATTTGAGTGCCAATATTATGAATTAATGTGGTAAATTTCGATTGAGCCAACTTACCTGCAGTCGAAACAGCTGCGCTTACGGCGAAAGACCGTGAACTCAATGCCACAGTTTTCGCAGGGCATGTTGTTGTTCTTGTTGGGTGTCCTTTCCTCTTTCGATCGACCGTTTCCGTGTGCCCTATCCTTGCCCTTTGCTCCTCTACGCCCACCACACCATTGCGTTTGTGTTTTCAATGTCAAATCGTGAATCAATTTCACGGAATGCGCAAATTTTTGGCGTAGCTGCTGTGCTGAGACTATCCGCCAAACAGCTGAGGTAATCGTTTTAGACAACTACTTACTCATCGGGGCCTATAAACTAATAAGCAAGTGGATTTTTACAAATTTTTATCAATATGCAGTAAGTACGCACGTACATACACATATGTATGTATGTACATGCGTCTGTGCACAATAATCAGCACATCACTGGTAAGAGCGATAGGCATCAACAAATATCGATTGCACTATCGATAACGGGTAATCGGCGACTGGAAAGACAAGCGCTCAAATTACATACTTAATATGGTTTAAATTATAAGTAAAAAAAAAATCGAGTAATTAAAAAAATGTTCTGATCTAATATAGAATAATAATTAGCAAACTTGAATTAGTTTAGTTTATGTTTATTTAATTCACATCCACTACTTAGAACTAAGTATGTAATTGTATGCAATTAAATAGTTAAGTGCCATAAAATGTTGCAATCTTTGCATTTTTGTTTTTAAATAATACATCAGTTAATAGCTATAATGTATAATTTATACGATTTTTGCACACATTGAAAACATGTTTGCTCTTCTAGTTGAATCAAGTCATTTAGTACAATATATATATATATATATACACATGCGGTTTCGTATGATTGAGCTTTTCGAAATTCTTGTTGATAAGTCTTTAATTTATAAACAAATGCGTCCGTTGCCCTTTTTAGCTGCGCGTTAAATGTTTGCAAGGTAAATTATCATCTAGCTGGCTGACTGGCTCTGTCTGTGCATTTGTTGTTGCAGTATTTTTTTATTATTGTTGTTCGTGGTGGTTGTGAATCATCCAAGCAGCGCCAGCACCGCATCGTAGATCTATGACCGTTGGCCAGAACCGACTACAAAGGTTTTCTAAGTAAACAAAAACAAAACAAAACAAAACACAAAAAAAAAAGAAAACAGCATACGCTAACAGCAAGATAATAGATAAGAGAGCGCGCAAATGAATAACGTGCTGGAAATTGTACTGCTTTAAATTTCTATTAGCGAGTTGAACGTTGCTTGGCCCTAAAAACGGTTATATATGTTTTGGCTACTGGCTGCATCTTAAACTATGACACGTGACGCGTATCGCCGCCGGCCTTGACATGGCTCTGTAATGGATCATCATTGTTGTTATCATCATCGTGGACGGTCACCTCCAGTGCACGATTCTTTTCATATTCGACAAAGTCATCGAAGAGACTTGGCCACGCTTCGGTATCATCATAATTTTCTATATCACATTGTTCAGTAAAATTGAGGTACATGTTCCATGTATCCTTGGGTATGCGGCGTATGTTCGGATGCTTTTCGAGGAAGATTACCCAGTTTGAAAAGAGATCAGGTGTTTGTACAGTGAACACTAGTTTCCACAAATCGATTGCCATTTCCAGCGACAGCACGCGCTGATCTGGCTCCAAGCCAAAACTAAAAATCAAATTCATATATATATAAAATTGAAAATACATTCAATTGTTATTCAGCATTGGAGCATACCGAAATGTAAAACGATAGAGCTGCTTAAACATTTCCGAGTCAACCTTAAGCATCTCAATAGTCTGTTCAAGTCTTAAGCGTATGCTTGCAATTGTGTCCGCCCGCATCTTGTGCAGGCCGTCAATAAATTCAGTTTTGGTGAAGCGGCACATCTGTGATGCATCGAGGCACCAGGCAAGCACAAGTATTGCAAACTCGTCCGGCTGATAGTTAAGATCATTGCACAAACGCTCAATGCCATCAGTGAGTATCATATCTTCATCATCTGGATCTTTGTAGATCTCAAATAGTATATTTAGCGTTTGATCTGACACCTCCATGGATTCCTTGACCGCTGCAATACACAAATTAATTAAAAGCTGCTCTTTAAATCTATGCTAAGCACAATAATTTACCAGTTGTTATAATTTCGCTCATGGTTGGCGCACTTCCATTAAGCAAGCCTAAGGACTTAAAACTATTACGCTTAGTATCACAATTATTTGCTGGCTTGAGTGGAGTTCGATTAGAGAGCAATTCATCGGTTTCTGCAGACATATAGATCGTTAATATAGGACTTAAAGGGAGCTATAGGCAATTCGCTTACCGCGCGGCCTGTCGTTGTAAATGGCGCAACGTTCGTTCGCATTCACCCCAACGATATCGTAGCAGTTGCCAATGCTGGTGGCCGCTTGGCAGCTGTTGGCGTTCAATGTGTGCAATGCGTTCGGAGATGAGCTGCTTGTTGGCAATGTTGTTGGTGCGGCGGACGACGACGACGACTGGAAGCATTTCAGGCAATTGCCCATAGTGCGCGGCACGTTCTCTCCAGCGGGCCCTTGGATTAACAATATTTCCTTGGCTGCTGCTTTGATTTGTGTGTAATATATATATATATATATATATATATATGTGTGTGTGTGTGTGTGTGTGTGTGAGTAGGTGTTGACACTTGTTTCTGACTGACTGACAGTGAGAGGTATCCGTATTTGTATTTGTATTGCCTTTTAACTTGGCTACTGGCTACTATGGGCTATGGTTATGGCTATGTGTGTGTGTGTGTGTGTGTGGGCCTATTGAGTGTTTATTATTAATTACTTAGCTAGCGTTAGCTCGCCTTGACATTGACTGCTTGACATTGGCACTGGAATTTCCATGGAACGTTAACGAGCTGTTGCACGCGGTTACTGATGCAACATTGATGCATCGAACATATGGTGAAGAGTGCTTCCTTGTTGCTGCTGCTGCTGCTACTGCTATTGCTGCTGCTACTGCTGCTGCTGCTGCTGTTGTTATTTTGATACCTCCTACGCAAACTCATGTGTATGTATTTGTGTATGGTGTATACATACATATGCAATTGTAGTAGTCAGCAACCACCACAAATGTGCGTGAATTCGTCAGCTCAGTGAATTTCACATTTTACTTTTGTTCTGCACCACATTGCGATAGCTATTTAAAACAGTTTCTTCTACTTGATTATTATATTAGTATTTTTGTTTTGTGTGTGTTTCACGAGGTTGCGTTTTTCTGCACAATTGCTGCTGGCCTTAAAATAACTATCGCAGCGATGTATCGATAACATTTAACTAGAGCAGGGCTGGTCGTGCGCAATCAATGAATAAACAGTCTTTCGATAAATCATCTAAATTAAACAAAATGTAATCAAACAAATTTTTAAAAATCGTTTATTGTTAACTACTGGATTTTCTTTCAGTTAAGGGCTTAAATCAAAATAAAGTTGCCTGCATTTAATTTTGAGTATTATTTTTTCAACTTTCTAAGCTTTGGTCTTGCGTGCAAGCTGGCAACTCTGCGCATAATTGCGCGCTCTCTTGGCCATTCCCGCTCGCTTGCTCCCGGTTTTAAGCCAACTTCAGTTTCAGTTACCAAACAGTACTCGACGGAAAAGCACTTGCTTATTGTGCGGATCGCAAAAGAAAAGCCACAACTCTTGTTATTTATGTTTTGTGTTTAGCAACAAAAAGTGTCAAGTTGTTGGAAAACCGTTGCGCGTGTGAACTTTGCCAAAAAAAAAAAAACGAAATATCATAACAGACATTCTGTACATAAAGTAAATGGTTGAGTGCCTCCGCTCGTAGAGTTGGTTTTTGGGCAATTCGAAGTCAACAAACAAGGTTGAGTGAACTTGTTATTGGGTATGTGTGTACTGCACACACACATATGCAAGTAATTTCTTTTGGCCAAGTTTATGTGACCAACTGTATGTACAGTATGATCGCGCGCGTGTGTGTGTATGTGTGTGTGTGTGTGTGTGTGAACTCCAACCGGAACGTGTGTAGCTCGAGCTTTTCTTTTCCTTTTCACTTCACTGAAAGTGTCAGCCACACATGATTTTCAGTTGTTGTATGAAAAGCGTGTGAATACAGTAAAAAAAAAACAAGGAAACAATTCTGCTTTGGGGTCGATTTCTTTTAACATATACTTCAGATCGTAACGTTCTTGGTTCGACCCACAACTAAATATTGATTGGAAAGAAATAATTATTAGAATGCACAAAAAGTATTTAACTATACATAGTTTCTGCCATTTCAGACATGCGCCTTGGTATGAACAGGTCATCGAAACTGAATCCACCGATTCCGTACGCGATCTTATCGCATTCATGCTTCAGATCGTACATGCTGTACGTTTGCCTCGATTTTACCGTTTTCATATCCTTGAAGTTGACCCATGTGATTTCGTTTTCCATTTCCGTTTTGCAGAACTGCAGCCATTTCCTTCCTTTTGACATAGTCTGACTTTGCAGGCGATGCAATATTGGCTTCCTTAGAATATTCTTCTTTTTGAATGTCATCGTTTTGATTTGGTTCAGATCCGTTTCCTTCTTCCAGAGATATAGGTCCGTGCACTTGTAATGCTCATAAAATGGATTCTCTTCAATTGCAGCGCATTTCAATTGTTCTTGACGTGTTTGCTTAATTGTTAGCTCAAGTTGGTTCAGCGTGAGGGCCAAATGTTGGTCTATTTCCTCAGGCATGATTTGGGTTCAATGTAAAAAATATATGGAATGTTAAAATAGAAATATATAAATGAATGTTTGTGAAGTCAAGCGGCTCGAATGGAACGTATGCGAGTTGAAATGTTCTCAAAAGGCATACTTTGCCTTAGATAACATACAATTTCTAATGCTCGTCTCAAATCAAATGGAATCCGGCTCTTTTTCGCCAACATTTCGTTTGGCAAGTGTTGTAAAATACCACATTTTAACGTACAGTTTCTCCTTGCAAGCTTTTTATATCATAAATATGAAGCAGGCAGATTTATATAAACGCAGAATATATAATATATGAAAACTTGCTTCCCAACTCTTATCGCAACATATTCCGAGCTTTTCCCCCCCAATTTATACTCTGAAGTTCGTCGTCCATCCAACTATTTTCTTTTATTAACTAAAATACAATTAACTGAATTCACCCTAAAATGTTTGTCAATACTTCTCATATGGCCATTAATTTTAAAAAATATATATGCCTAATGGACAATTTGAAGTTATTGTGTCAAATCATTATCATTCAACTGAGCTGATCTTCAGTGTTGGCTTCAAGGAGGCCTTCTTGATATCCTTAAATGTCACCCAATTCATATCGTTCTCCATTTCGAGCCACTTGATGCCGTTCGACTTGATTTGATTCTGTAGGCTCTGCGGCTTGATAAACATCATTTTCTTTTTCAGAGCTTGCTTTTTGACATGTTTAACAGCTTGCTTCTTGAGGATTTCCACATGGGAGTTGGCCTGGGTAAATCTCTTTTTCGAAGTAATCGCGGCGAATTCAATGGGGTTCTGTTTCATATTTTCCAACATTTTTTTAGTTGGTTACGTAAATATTTAAGAATATTTGTGATTTTTACGTGCACTGAAAAATATATTTATGTGAATACTGAGAGCTGCGTCGCATCTGAAATATTGTTCGTTTAAATATGTGTGAAAGGGTTACTTGGTTTAAGTTTCAGTGCCGGCTACTTGGATCAAACTAAGTTTGTTATATTCTTAGATTTATAGGCTCATCATAGTTGGTTGTCTATGGAAACAGCGCACAGATAAGAGGCGGCGAAAATGTCTTCCGATCGATTTCACAAGTGAGTTTCTGATGCCACGAAACAAGCAATTAATAATGCTACACCTATCTTATCTGAACAACTTTCAATTGAACTGAATTGTGCTTTGTATTAACAACAACAGGGCCGCCAAAGACGGGCTGCTCGATGTGCTGAAGGAGGCGACGCGCAAGGATGCCAATGCCAAGGACGATGACTCAATGACCCCGGTGATGTGGGCGGCATTCGAGGGACGACTCGATGCGCTGCGCCTGCTCTGTGGCAGGGGGTAAATTCAAACTTGATTGAATTTATTTTAAATAGCTAAAGTTATCCTTCGACAGCGGTGATCCCGACAAGTGCGATCAGTTTGGCAACACAGCTCTCCATTTGGCCGCCGCCAAGGGTCATTTGCACTGCGTTGATTTCCTCTTCAAATTCGGCGTTAACATTTACGCTTTGGACATTGACAGACACAATGCCAAGGATCTGGCGGCCATTAACAATCGGGATGAGATTTTGCGTTATCTGGACGCAGCCGCAGCCAACTTTGAGGCGAACGAAAAGTAAGCGAATTGCGATTGCAGTGTGGTAAAGTGCTGATAACTGTGTTCGATAATAATCCAACGCGTTCGTTATCGATAACTTGCATAGACTGCGCGCGATTCGATTTTGAGCTGGTTGCAACATTTCTCAACGGATAAATGATATCCAATAAATATTTAAACAAATAATAAATATATATATATCTTGCAGAAAAAAGTCGAAGGCTCTTAAGGAAATTGCGGAGAAGGAGTGCGAGAAGCGTGTGAAGGAATACATGAAACGCCAGCAACAGCAACAGCAGCAACACAGAGATCTGCAGCCGAGCAGCCGTCAGACTTTGGTCAGCAGCAGCAAGTCCAGCAACATGCTGTCCACACTCAAGCAAAAGATTTGGTCCAGCCAGGGCAATCTGAACAAGGCGCCGCGGGAACAGCCAGCACCTGCCCACATGCCTCAACAGTCGTCGCGTGCCGGCGCCAAGTTCAGCGATCTGGTGGGGGGCGGTGGCAGCAGCAGCAGCAGCGGCGGATCCACCATAGCCAGTCGCGTGGGCACCGTGCAGAAGAAGCCGCCGGGCAAGCCGCAACATGCAAGCGCCTGTCCACATGCAGCCGACGGTGGGTTCAAGGTGCGCGAGCTGGAGCCGGATGGCAAGCGTACGATTACCTCGCTGACGGGCCTGCAACGCGACTCGGAGGTGCTCTATGTGGGCACGTTCAGCTCCACGGAGGATGGCAATGGCAAGCGCGGCAAGATCGCCGATGTCTTCGAGCTGGACGATGGCGGCGAGCGCGATGCCGGCCGGCTGGGCTACAGCGCGGCGCTGTCGCGTAGCTTCTCCCAGCCGGATATACTGGGCGATGCGCAGCTGGCGCAGGAGCTGAGCGAGGAGCTGGTGCTGCAGCGACCCATCGGCCTGTTCGACCGACCCACCATGCTGGGCAGCATTGCGTTCCGACGCTCCGTGACTGCGGCGCTGAGTCAGCTGCAGCTGCAAACGGACGGCGTCGACAGCGTGTCCAGTTCGACCATGCGAAATGCGAGCAGCAGCGGCAACAACAACAACAACAGCAAATCCCGCTCCGGGAATAAGGCGCGCCTGTATTTAAATCTGTCCGACGACAGCGACTCGGAGGGCGCCGGCGAGGATGTGTACAGCGAGGACGAGGACGAGCAGGAGATGTCGGCCAGCGCATTGCAGCGCTTTCTGACAGTCTGGGCCCTGGATGAGTATCTGCCAGTGTGAGTGGGGCAACTATTCAGATCAGATCAGCTTTAACTGGAGTTATTTTTTAGTTTTCAGAAGCAGGAGATCGATCTGGAGACGCTTATGCTGCTGACGGAGGCGGACCTGAAGTCGCTGGGCCTGCCGCTGGGCCCATTCCGGAAGCTCACCTTTGCTATCCAGGAGCGTCGCAATGCCCTGGCCAATCCCGGGCCCCTGCTAGACAGTCGGCTATAATTAATTGTAATGCTTAGAGCTTTAATCCATGTACTAAAAACAAAAATATAGTAACTACAAATGAGTGCTTAGTATAAACAAGAGTTGGTTGTGCTCTAACCCGCGACCTGCTGCATCATGTACAGGTTCGCGTAGATGCCATTCAATGCCATGAGATGATCGTGTGTGCCCTGCTCCACAACGAGGCCGCGCTTGAGCACACAGATCAGGTCCGCATCCCGCACGGTGCTCAGGCGATGGGCGATGGTCACGCAGGTGCGACCGGCGCGCGCCTCGTCGAGGGCCTGCTGCACCACCTTTTCGCTCTCCAGATCCAAGGCGGACGTCGCCTCGTCCAGGATGAGGATCTTTGGATTGCGCACCAGCGCACGGGCAATGGCAATGCGCTGCTTCTGGCCGCCGGACAGCTGTGAGGTCTTGCCCAGCCGTGTCTCATAGCCCTGCGGCAGAGAGCTGACGAAATTGTGAATGTTGGCCTTTTTGGACGCTTCGATGATCTCCTGCATGGGCACATCGTCACGGAAATTGTTGCCATAGGCAATATTCTCGGCTATGGTGCGATCGAAGAGCACCGGCTCCTGCGAGACCAGGCCCAGCTTGGAGCGCAGCGTGTCCAGCGGAAAGTCTGTGCTCGGCACACCGCTCAGATTAACCGAGCCGGAGACGGGATCATAGTAGCGCAACAGCAGCTGTATGCAGGTGGATTTGCCGGAGCCGGATGGACCCACCAGCGCCACAGTTGTGTTCTTCTTAATGGTGAGATTCAGGCCGTGCAAAATGGGCGTGTCCTTGCGCGTTGGATACTCAAAGCAAACATTCTCGTAGACAATGTCGCCCTCCGATTTCTGGAAGAGATCGCCGGATAAGTAAGGGAGTATCAGGAATCTAGTAAGCAACTCACATCAGCTGTATTGTAGGGATTGAGTGGAGGATTGGACTGCTGGGGCGTCTGCTCGAACAGCTTCATCAGGCGACCCGCAGAGATGATGGCATCGTTAACGTTCGGTGCATAGGCCAAGGCCTGGCCCAGCATCCAGGAGCCAAAGATAAGCGCCTCGGCGACCTTTATGATATCCTGATAGGGCAAACCCTCATTGGCCACCAGCAGCCCGCCATAGTAGAGGGAGACACCGTAGGCCAGGAACGGTGCCGCCTGTCCCAGGGCAAAGACCAGGCCGCGGAAGCGCACCTTGCGCCGGCAGGCGGCGTTCACCTGATCGATCTGCACGATGTAGCGCTCCAGCACCTGCTGCTCCAGGCCCAGCCCATTGACGGTCCGTATATTGGCAATGGCCTCAACGGCCACCTGGGAGGCCTGCTCAATGGCCGCCTTGGACCACTGCACGCTCTTCGCTACGAAGCGGCCCTCCAAATACACGGAGAGGCACAGGAAGGGCAGCGTGATTGTGGTTAGAAGGGTTTGCTGCCACGAGTAAACAAATCCAACTATCATGCCCACGGCCAGGGTGACCACCGCCTGCAGCATGATGCCAACACGTGCGCCCGTCGCCTGCGAAGGATGAGCATGAGAGAGACGAAAGTGGATTTTAGAGTGTGTGTGTGGCAGGGATTTTGTGGGGAAGGCACAACTCACCCCCTGCACGTTGGAACAGTCGCCGGCGAGGCGTGCGCAGAGTGCGCCCACCGAATTGCGCTCGTCATCAAAGAAGGCCACCTCCTGGGACATAATCGTCTTGAAGGCCCGCTGCCGCAGGCGTGTTGTCATCTTAACGCCCGCCGTCGTGAACATATAGCTCTGCAGCATGATGCCCACGCCGGCCATCAGGCCGATGCCAATGAAGATGTACGAGATGTTGTTGCCCTCGTGCCGCACCAGATCCTCATCGCCGTTGGAGAGTATGCCGAAGAAGTCGCCAAAGAAGAGGCCCCACAGCGGGAATGTGGTGCCGTGCATGGCGGCCGCCAGGCAACCCCACAGTATGTACCGCCATTCGGGTCCATTGAGCTTCATCAGCTGTATGAAGGAGACCTTCGGTTCGTCCTTCTTTTGCTTCTTCTTCTTGCGACGCTGCGACCGTCCTGCCACAATTTAACATACATATGTTTGGGATTAGGAAAAAGCTGGAGGATGTAAAATTGAGCGACTAGACAATACCCTGTAGCCAACTACAAATGGGTCTAGTCGGGTGGGGAATTCAGGAAGAAAAATTGTCGTTTAGCAATTAAGGGTTTCGAGATCGGTCTATCTCTTTACGAATGCGTGTGGATGGAAGAAGGGACAGACAGATGGACGGGAGTCCGATAGACGGACGGATAGAAAGACGTACGGATGGACAGATAGACGGACGTACACGGACACGGTGGTCGGATAGTCGGACGCACTGACACTCGGTTGAACAGACAGATGGAAGGACTCACAGATGAACGGACAATCGGATGGACAGACAGACGCACGTACATACGGGGGTCAGAAAGACAGATAGACAGAAGGAAGGACGGACGGGCAATAAGAAGGACCGACAGAAATAAGTCTAGCAGAAGCACGTATAGACAGACCAACGGACAGACAGACGGAAGGATAGGCAGACCAACGGAAGGACAGATCAACGGACGGATGGTTACTCGAATGTCTTACTGGGTAGTATACTGCCTTGAGTCTTCACAACAACAACATACTCTGCTTAACCCATTCGTCCATGGTTACAGGGTAGATAAAGTTTAGGACCTCCAACTCTTACTCTTACTTACGTTTTCCGCATGAACTGACGCTGAATACGTCGTCCTTGCTGTGGTTAGCGGGCGCCACAGCATCGCCATCGTCGTCATCAATGTCCTCGTCGTCGTCCTCAGACTCCAGGTCGTCGTCATCAACCATGATTTCGTCCTCCCTGCCCTTTGACAATGGCAATTTAGCAACACCGCTGACTGTGTCCTCGGCACCCTCGGTGGCCTCTTTGCGCCGGGTTATGTTTACCAGCTCACAGTATAAACCACCCCTGTCCATGAGCTCGTCGTGTGTGCCCTGTTCGGCGACCAGGCCGTCCTTAACAAACACAATTTTGTCGGCATTAGTCACAGTCGATAGGCGATGCGCGACAACAAGGGTGGTTGGACCCTGGCTGGCCAGCTCCAGTGCATCCTGTACGCGCTTCTCGGAGGTGGGGTCCAGCGCCGATGTCGCCTCGTCCAGCAGCAAAATCTTCGGATTGCGCACCAGCGCCCGTGCGATGGCAATGCGCTGCTTTTGGCCGCCGGACATCTGGGCGCCGCGCTCACCCACCTTGGTATCGTAGCCCTTGGGCAGCTTGGTGATGAACTCGTGGCAATTGGCATTGCGTGCGGCCCGCTCAATGTCCGCCTGGCTGGCTTGCGGATTGCCAAAGCGTATGTTCTCGCCAATTGTGGTGGCAAACAGAACTGGCTCCTGGCCCACAACGCCAATCTGGGCGCGCAGCCAGCCGACGTTCAAGGTGCGCAGGTCACGGCCATCCAGCTTGACGCTGCCCTGTTCCGGATCGTAGAAGCGCTGCATTAGCTGGATGACCGTGCTCTTGCCACAGCCGGAGGCGCCGACAAAGGCCACCGTTTGACCCGGTTCCACGTCCACCGTCAAGCCCTTGAGTATCTCAACATCCGGACGCGAAGGATATCGGAAGTGTATATCCTCGAAGCGTAGACGACCCGTTATGCTGTCGGGCTTCATGCCAGTCTCGCCCATCGGATCGATTTCCGACTTGCGATCGATAATCCTGAAGAGATTTCGTGCAGCGCCGAGGGCCACAGCAAAGGAATCCACATGCGGCGACGAGAAGCCCAAATTCTGAGCGCCCATAATGACGGCGAACAGGACAATGACCAGGACAGCCGGCGTATACTGGCGCTCCTCCTTGCCGCGATCCTCCAGAATCAGATTGACGCCATACCAAATGGCAATGGCCATGCAGCAATAGATGATCAGCCACATGACCCCGGCCCCGATGCCCGAATAGAGGCCCTTCTTGCGGCCGGTTACCTCGGCGGGCACCAGCAGCTTGGAGAAACGTTCGTTCTCCTTGCGCTCCCCACTAAATGCCAGCACGGTGCGTATGCCGCTAAAGACCTCCTCGGCCACATTGCCCGCATCCGAGTAGGCCTTCAGCTCCTTTTCGGCCAAGGAGCTCTGGATTTTGGCCACCAGCGCTGTGGATAAAATAATAAATGGACTGCAGGTCAGCACCACGAGGGTCAGCTTCCAGCCGTAGATAAACGAGGCAACAATGCCCATCACAAAGGTCATGAACAGGAAGGTAACAATGGCCACCTTCTCACCGATGCCCTCCTTCACCTTATCCAGATCCCTGCGTAAAGGTTGCTTAATATTTGAATAACCCTTCCCCAAGTCCGTGGCACTTACTCTGTCATCTTGCTGGCGAAATTGGCGCCCGAGCTGGTGTCATACCAGGACATATCCTGGCGCAGTATGGCCTCCAGAAAGAGCTTACGTATGCGATTGATCTGGTTCAGGGCGACGCGATTCGACACATCTATCGCAATTATAATGAGCAACAGCATTATGATGGAGCCCACCAGGCTGCCAATGCCAAAGGCAATCGAGTCATCTATTATGGCCTGAGTATTCTCCTCCGGGCTGGCATCGGTGCTATAAGGAGAAGCCCAATTTAAAACTCACATCCAATCTCCAGTTCTCCCGCCCCACAACTTACAGTCGCTTGCCGCCTCCAAAGAGCGCGAGTATAAAAGTTGGCGAGGAGGTTCCCTCGCCCACGGTGCGATCAATGAGCAGCGACGTGAATTCCCCATAGATCAATATAAAATATGGTATAAAAACCGAGGCTAATGTGGCCACAATAATGCTGAGCAATAGCAGAAAACGTTCCAGGCGAGTTGAGTACCGGAACTATAAAAGAAAAGTTCGAAATTTTAGAGTATGCTAATCGGATAAATGATCAAGGATTTGTTTCTGATTACTCAAATTTAATGATTAAATATGAATATTATATAATATAATAAAGATCTTAAATAAGAGTATAATATTATATAATAAAGATCACGCTGCGAGCCCAACTGGTTCACTGGTTCGGTTCACGACTCAAAAGAAAGCCTAGATTTTAGGTTCGGTTCATGAACCCGCTTTGGCACATCTCTGAATCTAGTTGTTGCTGGGAATCATTTGTTCGCACATGATTTACAAGTTTTTACAAGCACAATTCCATTCGAAACTAGTTCATTTTACATATATACAGTATGAACCGGTTCGGTTGCAAACGGTTTAGCAGCTTTGATCATTATTATGACAACTTTAAAAAGCACTCCTTACTTTAATAAAAATAATTTAATTTAATGTCCTTGTCGAAATTAGTTCTTTTAACATGTTCACAGTCTGAACCGGTTCGGTTCCAAACCGTTTTTTCAGGCTTGATTTTTATTAAGACAGACTTAATTATTCAAAAAAGGATTTTGATCAATTATAACTGATACAAGCTGCAAGATTTCAACCGCTAACTGATGCTGACAAAAATAATTGTATAAAATTTAAAATAAAATATTTCTAAGCTATACAAAAGAACATTCAGTTCAATGATAGCTGATGCATAAAACAGGATTTTCAGTGCTAAAACTAATCAATGTCTCTGACTTCTTCTTATGTAATTCGCAGCAAACGATAAAAAAAAAAAAAGAACTTTAATGCTGAATGCACTCAGCTTGAAATAATTGGATTAATCAAAGTATTCACATCAGATAATACGCTCGCTCAATGATAAATGATCGGTGATCAATTTAAGCACCAATCTTTATGACTTGTTCAACACTTACCAGATCAAAGAAACTGTACTTTTTATCGTGCTCCGCTGTGGCATCTCCGCTGGCTTTCTGCACCTGAAAATCGCCCAAATCTGGCAGCTTTGTGCTGCGCTTCTTCGACTCCTTGGCAAATTCGTGTGCTGTGGACATTTCTGAGATCCTTTTGTTGTACTTTCGTTAAAAGATTTTACGTATTGGAGAGCTGCAAAAAAGATGAACTCAACTCATTTCTATGCCACATTTTGAATTGCGCTTGCGATCGAATGCGGCGCGCTTTTTATTACAAAAAAAAACTCACAAAATAATTAAAGTTTTTTACTGGGGCGACAATTTATACAAGAAATGAAAAGTGAGAGAGAGAGAGAGAGAGAGAGAGAGAGGTGGAAAAAAGCATATTTCCCAAGACAAATTAACGCTTTGAAGCTGTTGCAGCTTGATAAATTGATAAACTGATGATTGCACACTTGCGGCAATTGAAAAACTGGAAAAAGCATCCATAAATTAATAAATTACAAACAATTCGTATTCGAAAGTGAAATATATGAGTGCCGGGACAATCGATCGATCGAAACGAAAAAACAATTGAAGCGTAATCTGGACTATTACCAATTTTTTTTCTATATATATATAATATATATGTAAACACTGGCAGACGTATATGCTAATGATAAGACCCGATTTTGTTTTAATTTTATTATTTTTTTTTTCGGTATTTTCAATTGTTCGAAGATTGAGTTTTTTACGGTCTGGTGTCGAGGTTTTGAAGCGATTTCGATTTAACAGGCTGCGTTTGCATCTCGACAGCACGCGATTGGAATCGGAACTGTTGGGGCCAGTCAACGGGGGCCTACGACGATACCTCGGTTACCAGAGTGTCCGAGTGTCGTCATATATATGTATATGTATGTGTATGTGTACAATCGCGTGCTCGTGTCGTTAGGCAAAGGCACAAATACGTAAATGATATAAGAACTTTCAAGCGGCTGAAACTGAACCGAATTGATGCCATAAACCTTATAATCGGCCACAAAGACGAGCCAATTAAAATCCACAACAATCACAACATAGCCAAAGTATTTAGGAAGAAGAAGAGGAAGCAGTAGAATATAACTTAACCATCTGTAAACAAATGTCAGTCGAAATTGTTTGGCACACGCGCTGATTATTGTTCCGGCTTATCGTGCACTTCAGGCTACAACTAAACGCCTCAGCCACGCCCACATGGGTTCGAAGTAGTGTGGCATGAGTGTGTGCTGCTTTATTTTCTTGGAGTTCATTTCCAGTTTTTGCAGTGCGTCAAAGATCTGTATGTAATTTCCCGCGACTGCAGCATTGCGAACGCAGAGCACGCAACATTCAAGAAAGTCACCTGGACAACTTATGGCTGGGAATAACCGCAGCCGTTCGCATGGCATTGCCCTCTCCGGGTTCCTTGGAAGATTCGTCAGCATCTAATTGCCGAGAGCTGATCTTAATTCATATATATATAGTATGTTCTCTATGTGCTGCCTGAAGTCTATGAGGCACGCGCAGTCGGGCACCGGAACTAATTCAAATAACACGCATTGCCTATTTATCATTTTATCCATAGAAATCTGTATAGACTGTAACAATCGGGTTGACAATAGAGAGCTGGAGAGACTGGGAACATTGGAACTAGTTTAAAAAAACATGCATAGCTTTTCATCATTTTATCCATATAAACCTATTGGAACATTTGAATTAGTTCAAATAATATGCATAACTATTTTGCATTTTATACATATAAATTTGTAGTCTGCAATAATTGGTTCGACAATAGCCCTTTTTAAAACCTGGAACTAGTTCAAATAACACGCTTAACTATTTATTATTTCATCTTTATAAATTTGTAGAGTCTGTACCAATCAATACCTTGAAATATATAGCCTTTCTTTATTAAACTGTGGAACCAGTTCAATATTGCAATTCCACAGTTGGTTCTTAAAAGGCAGAGGAACTAATTCATAAAGTTAAAAAAACAAAAATAAGATTATATATGTAAATAATCGGTTGAATTCTAAGCTAACATTTTCGAAAAAATATTTTTTTTAAGAATTTTTTTTAAATGGCGAACTAGGCACAGTTCAGCTCCAATGCAGCATAGATCTAGTTCGTTGCGAATAAAAATATTGATAAGGTCTTAATACTTTTTAATATATTGCGGTTGTTCAAAAACTATGAGCACAAAAATCAGTTTCTTGGAGTATTATCTGCAAATGTGTACAACTAGTTCTGAAAAACTTAATTTCATTCAAGTGCAAATGGAATTTTTGCGAAAACCGAACCGCAAATACGACGGCTATCAGACAGAGGTATATTGCACTAACACTGCACAACAAAATTGTGAACTAGAGCTATGCCAATGCATAAGGTAGGTACAAAATTTAAAGGAATTTAACGGAAGTTTATTTTAAAATATTTAATAAGGAATAAAAATAAGCTAATGATTTATATATTTTCGAAAATACAGAAAAACTATTGAAGAATTTATTGATTGAAAGAGCTTTTTTCCAATATAATTTAAGTATCATGAGCTTACAAACAAAGAGAAATAAAGTTATATTACTTTCTTTCTTTCTTCGATACAGATATTATTGAATTGACATGAGCTAAGAATCAAAAGAAAAGATTTTTTAAAAGCTTTAAGACTTCCTTAGGCATAAATTAAATCTGTATTTAACCTTTTCCGAATTTCACAATGTGGTGTAATCTTACAAGTTAAGCAAACAAACCAAATAGCTTAACTTTGTTGGTGAGTGTAGAAAACATTTGGTACTTATCTAACCTAAGTGCCGTACCTTTATGGGGGAATACTATAATTTATAAACAATATAAAACAACAACAACAAAAAGCCAAACACAACCATCAAGGTTAGACTATCAAAAATATTACGTAGATTCGCGCAAATATTGCCCAGCTGGATGGCGGGCCCTCAATGCCTACCTATAGATATACAGATATACAGATATATATATAGATGATGTCGTATCGGGAGACTGTCAATGCCTAGCTACAGATATATGTATATAGATATATATATATTTATATAGATGATGTCGCATCGGGCGACTGACAAGACTTACCGGCTGGCAATTTGACGGAAAACAAATATTGAATGATGAAATCTTTTAGTATGATTTGTTTAACTAGTCGCGCACAATGAGAACCGACCGCAGACAATGGACAGACTGGGCAATGGCTAATGAACTGAACTCGAATCGAGTAAAAGCACCGATATTTATACGCGAACGGGAGACGGGCTCGGCGGCTACCTGTGCACCTGGGCAATCGACCTGCATTTGCGATTCCAAATCAGGTCACAACAGGTATACACAACATATATACATATATATACATACATATGTTACATATAATCTGCATGTTGTTTATAAGGCAGGGTCTGATATCTTCGAGCACATCCGTTGATTTAGTCGTTTTTAATGATCTGCCGCGGCACGACATCCGGAAGTCCTTTGGCGCGGACATTTTTCGGGTCTATTCAAAATAAATCGAAACTATTTTCCTTAAGACATTGGCTAATAAGATACAAAACTCAGGTGAGTTAATCTAGAATATGGCCCAATTAGTTATTATAACACTCGATTTAATCAATCCGACTTATAGCTAATATTCCGGGAAGTTGATCTTTTGTAGAAAGTATATATTATATTGTAATATTATTATAACCCTGGAAATAATAAATCCAACTTATATATATACATATAGCCTTAGCTATATTTCTTGAAGTTTATCTTTAGTAGAAGGTATATGTATATTTTAGAATATGGCCCAATTAGTAACTATAACACTCGATATAATAAATCCGACTTATAGCTAACATTCCGGGAAGTTGATCTTTTGAAGAAAGTTTATATTATAGAATATGGCCCAATTAGTTATAATAACACTCGATATAATCATATATATATACATTTAATATTAGCTATATTCCTTGAAGTTTATCTTTTGCAGAAAGTGTATTTTGTAGAATTCCCCTTGAGGTAATAAGATATTCCCTGAGGAAATATGTTAATAAAAACTAACACAAACCCAAGTAAAACCTTCTCTTTATGCTAATTAGAAATATCTGGGATTATAATCATAGTCTATCACAGATTAGAGCTACGAAAACAATTGTTTAAATAGTTGCCTTATTAATTGACCTTCAATTGAAACGTGACATCTAATCTAAATGCAATTGAACTACTTTTTGATTGCTCAGATTTGAATTACATTATTTTGGCCAATATTCAAAATAAGCACGTGCAGGGAATTGCCTGAGATGAGATATGTGGGACTTTTTGCTATTCAGCTGCACTACATTTAAAAGCTGCATGGATATTCTATATAATTTGGCACTAGGTTAAAGTAAAAAAGAGAAGGGAAATAGTATTTGTATTAGACAAAGCGCGACGAAGAGGTCAGTAAACCCCACGGCGCTAAACGCCCGAGGCTAAACTCGCCCATTATGATTTTGATGAGCTAAATATAGGAAGTACGTCTTTTACGAGCATCTGCCACTTAGCCGGGCCATATAAAAACTTGGAATTACGCGGAACGCCGAAGACGCTCGACGTGCCTCTCGATTTCGTGTAGTTCCCAGATTCATTCAAAGAAGTTGCTCATTTAAATAAATATATGCGTATATTTAACAGTTTATATATACAACAGAAGTTTTTAAGACTAGATACAATAGTTAACAAAACTCCTTTTGGAGGTAGCTGCTGCGGGGAATACTTTGTAGGAATACGAATACGAAGAAAATATCAAGCATTTTTTGCTTAAATTAAGTTCAAGTTTGCAATTTCTTAAACTGAAAAAGGAATACGAAGAAAATATCAAGCATTTTTTGCTTAAATTAAGTTCAAGTTTGCAATTTCTTAAGCTGGAAAAGGAATGCGAAGAAAATATCAAGCATTTCTTGCTTAAATTAAGTTGTTTCAGATTGAAATTTCTTAAGTTCTTAAAGAAAAACTTATTTCAGGAACTTTTTTTTGTTATATGTACTTCAATTTCTGAATGGAAGAGCTCTTGGAATTCCATTCGACGCGTTTTGAGCTTAAAGTAAGTATTTTTTGCCCAATTCCATATATTATTTTTGAATTTAATTTAGACTTAATTTAAGAACGAAGAGAGCCTGAATTGTCTTTAGTGAGCAAATTTCTATGTAGATTGTATTTAAATTTAAAGCAAAATTTGTTTCTCTCAGTAATTGAAGAGAATATCAAGCATTTTTTGCTTAAATTAAGTTGTTAAAGCTTGCAATTTCTTAAGCAGATTTTCGAAAAACTTAAGTCGGGAACTTTTGTTTAGTTAGCTCTTGGAATGCCATGGTGCATTTTTTTTAGTGTGTAAATTCTTAAATTAAGTATTTTAGGCTTAATTCAATATATTTTTGTTGGAATCAAGGATAATTTATACTTAATATAAGAAGGAAAAGAGCTTGAAGTTTCTTTAAAAAAGTAAATGATTTTCTATTTAGATAGTATTTAAATTTAAAGGTGAATTTGATACTCTCAATAATTGGATTGGCTTTAACATTTGAGGTAGCTGCTCGGGAATGTGTTTGTGGTCATGTGTCTCCGTCTCCTGCCAGCTCCAGCTGCAGCTCAGTAGCTCAGGCTGATGCCCTGCTGGCGATAGAAGATGTCGCTGCGCACGAGAATCTCGTAGCTGCTGATGCGCACCTCCTGCCCGCCGAAGGCTATGTGCAGGCAGCGATGCGATTGCTGGATCTTGCCAGGTGTCAGGCTGCCGCCGTAATGGGCGCGGCCAACAAACAGAGGCTCGCCGTTGAAGGCGCGGCCCGCCTCGACGGCGCCCGCGGCGATGCTGCCGTCACGGCCGGGCACCCAATGGTACTTGGACTGTCCGATGAGCACCTCGTAGCGCGACTCGACAATTTCGCGGCCGGCCAGCGTAATGTAGGCACAGCCGCGACTGGGCGCCGCCTTGCCCGGTATATGGACGCCGTCGTAGTAGGCGCGACAGACGAGCAGCGGCGCCATGTCGCTATCGTGGCCGCCGAAGACGGCATCCGGTGGCGTATACCCTGGACTGGCGGCCATCCACAGATCGTAGACGGGCGGAGCTGGTGTGCATACGGCTGGCGTATAGGAGGAGCAGCTGGGCGCATACGGATCCAATGGCGGCTTATAAGTGTCCGCTGGCGTAAAGGAGCACGAGGCAGCCGCAGGCGGCGCGAACTCGGCTGGCGTATAGGAGGGCGCGGTCGCCACCTCGGCGGGCACATAGGAGGGCTTCACTGGTATGGGCACGGGCACGGCCAGCGGCGGCTTGTACTCCGGCAAGATCGAAGGCCCCATTGGACGGGCTGGTGGTGGATATGGATCTGTGCTGGCCATGGGCATCGGCATGGGCGTATACTGTGGCGGTCTGTCGTGCAAGGCGAAAGCCGGCGCATCAAAGTCCGGCGGATACGGATAACGTCCGGGCGCAGCGCCTGGCTTGCCTGCCAGCAGCAGCGGCGTTGGCGGCGTCAGCGGCGGCGGCGTTGGCGGACACTTCTCCGCCAGCTCCAGCTGCTCGGGCGGCGGCGGCGGCGGCGGCAGCTGCCAGCCGGGCATGCCATGTCGTTCCTCCACCAGAATCTCATACGAGTCCAGACGACGCTCGGCGCCGCGATACGCAATGAACAGGGCCCGGTGAACCGACGAGATTTTCCCAATTATCAGATGACCCTCGTAATGGCCGCGTCCAATGTAGACGGGCTGCTCCAGCGCGGTGCGTCCGCAGAGCACGGCCGTTTCGGGTATCACGTGATCGTAGCACTTGACCCAGGCGAGATTCTCGCCGCACAGTATCTCGAATATGTCCTTGGGCAGGGCCTCGCCGCGCTGCGATATGAAGCCGATCTGCTTGGTGGGCACCACCTTGCAGACGAGCATATCGCCCTCGTGCTCCGCCCGGCCCACATAGATCATGGCGCCATCCTCATCATTGCCGCCAACAACGGCATTCGGCGGTATCGAGGAGTACGCCGACGACTGCACCCACTTATAGGCTGTAAAGTAAACAAATTGGGCATGAGTTGCAGTTTCTCTATATGTAATCTTTATATATATCCAAGTTTAGACTATGCCCAATCTTTATACATGTAACTTGGACCTTACTACGAATATAATCTTGCCCTTTATCATCAGCCGATTATAATTATTCTATTTATATTTGACTAAGATAAATAAGATTCTTGTTATGATAAATCTCATACTTTGCTGCATCAACGGACTATATAAATATTGTGCTCTTACTCTCCCTGGAATTTGCATTTTTATGTAAGAAATATAAGTCGCCTTCTAGAATATTAAAGAATTGTCGCCAGACAAACAAAGATAATGAATGTGTTTCAGAAATTTGCGAGTATTATCCAAACAAATTTTAGGTTTCTTGAAAGTTTAATAAATAAATCTTCAATTATCGAATAATATATCCATTTTTTTTTTATAAAATTTCAAATATCTCGAGTACATTTGAAACGATTTTCGAATGATATATAATTTCGATAACGGCATATAATTTAAATATTTCGAGCTGAATCTTTCGAGTATAATATCTCGAGCACATTTACTCTGACCTTCGAATGGTATATTCTCTTTTTATAAACACAAATATCTCGAGTACATTTTCGAGTATATTCATTGGGATTTTCGAATGAAATACCATTTTAATTATTATTTTAATATCTTGTGTACATTTACTTAGATTTTCGACTCACATACTTTTATTATAACTTAAATATTTCGAGAACATTTAGTCCGATTTTTGAATTACATATCTTTTAGAGCAGATCTATTGGCATTAAGAAATGCCCATTTCAAATTTTGATTCAATTTTTTTTTAACAATATCAGAGAACAGCTGTACAAATATTCGCTCCATTTGGGAAGCAAATATTTCTCATTGCAATCTACAGAGTTTGATGAGTCTAAATTTCAGGGATCTTACTTAGTTAAGTCGAGTTATAGTTAGGAAGATTTTTGGTATGGATTAGTTCAGATTAAGGCTCAACTGTACTTTAGCCTTTTAATTTGGTTTAGGGTTCGGTTCATGGTATTGGAATTGCAGAGGATTATATTAATGAATGAGCTCTACTCTGGAAACAAGGTTATTTACAGGGTATTCTATAATTCTAAAGAAGAGGAATGTAAGCTACGACTTATTTATATGGAGAGATAAATGCACTACAGAACTTGAATGTGTTTGATAAGCAGTCGCAACCTTTATTAAAAATTGTTCAAAAATATAAATAAATGTGTGTATGTGTACCGCCTATTGCCGGCAGAGCACCTCATAGGAGTCCACACGGATTTCGCGGCCACCGTAGGGTATGTAGAGGCAACGCTGTCGGGCGGAGATCAGGCCGGGCGTCAGGCTGCCCTGGTGATGTCCGCGTCCATAGTAGATGGGTTCGCCGTTGCGGGCACGGCCCGTGGAGACGGCATTCGGGGGAATGCCATGGTGATGGGGACGGATCCAGACATAGCCGTAGCCGGTGAGGACCTCGTAGGTGGGCTTCTGGAACTCGTAGCCGCCGTAGCAGACGTAGGCCGAGCCCTTGCTGGGCACCACCTTGGCGGGCAGCATTTCGCCCTCGTGCATGGCGCGTCCGGCATAGATGGGCGTGCGATCCGAATCGTGGCCGGCTATGACGGCGCCGGGCGGCGTATAGCTGGGCGAGGCCGGCACCCAGACATCCTGCTGCTGATGGATGAGCACCTCGTAGGTGTTAATGCGCACCTCCTGCCCGCCAAACGGTATATAAAGACAGCCATGCGACGGATGCACCTTGCCCACGCATAGCGAGTTCGCGTAATGGCCGCGACCCACATAGATGGGCTCCCCGGTGCGGGTGGTGCCGCTGCGCACCGCATTTGGCGGCACAGAGCCGCTGGAGCTGCCCACCCAGGCGAAGCCCTGGCCCACGAGCACCTCATAGTGGCTCTTCTGGTGCTCGGTGCCGCCGAAGGCGACATACGCACAGCCCTTGCTGGGTATTACCTTGGCTGGGAGGTTCTCGCCCTCGTGGAAGGAGCGACCCACATAGATGGGCGTGCCGTCGGCATCGTGGCCGCCAACAACAGCGAACGGAGGCAGTGCGGCATATGGAGTCGAGTGCACCCAAGTGTGTTCTGCAACGAGAGGAGGAGCGGACAGGAGTGCGGTTGGGCATTAGTTGCCGATAAGTTGCCGATAAGCGCGATAAGATAGCAAAGTTATACATATAGATTATTTCTTTAAAGATTGGATTGGATTGGATTGGTGCTCAACACAGCTCTGCACTCGCCTACCAATGCTCACAACTGTTCCTGGCTGCACGGCACCTAAAGGTGGACCCGCAAAAAGAGGAGAAAAAAACCAAAAGAGAGAGAGAGAGAGAGAGAGACAAATCAGCACTGACATCCACGACAGGCCATTAATAGGGATCGCTGAGGATCGCCTGACTCCTATGTATATCTACTTTGTCACACACTATATGCCCTGCCCTATATCTATATATATGTATATATACATGTAGGTCTGATAAATATGATTAACATACCCATGATTCACTTTTCCAGCTGATAAGCGCGCTTTCTCTGCAAATTATTTATATCTCTTGTATAGTATATTGTAATTATTCCTTTTTGTTTTTGTTTTAATATTTATTTAAAGTCCGTATTGTTGCGACCGTCTGGTTCGCTGTTCGATTTTTAACTAAAACCCGCAACGGCAAGTGAAAAGGTTTAAAAACGTACGCCCGAGCCTTTATCTCCGTGCTCAACCCAGTGGAAGTGCTTAAAAGGGGTATATTGGTTTTGTGGTTTTGTGGTATGTAAGGTATGCAACAGGCAGAAGGTTGCCTCTCGGACCCCATTAATTATATATATTCTTAGTCAGCAGCTATTGTCGAGGTCCGTTCCTCCATCCCTCCTTCCGTCCGTCCATTCCTCCGACCCTCCGTCCGTCCGTTCTCCGTTCCTTCCTCCGTCCATCCCTCCCTCCGTCCGTTCTTCCGTCCGTTCCTCCGTCCGTTCCATCATCCCTCCTTCCATCCCTCCCTCCGTCCTTCCGTCCATTCTTCCGACCCGCAGTCCGTCCGTTCTCCGTCCGTCCGTTCCTCCGTCTGTTCCTCCGTCTGTTCCTCCGTCCGTTCCTCCGTCCGTTCTTCCGACCGTTCCTCCGTCCGTTCCTCCGTCATTCCGTCCGTCCCTCCGTCCATCCGTCCATTCCTCCGACCCTCCGTCCGTCCGTTCTCCCTCCGTCCGTTTCTTCAATGTCCCCGCAGTACGGATTTGTTGTCCGTTAATCGATAACTTGCCCCACTTGTTATCCGATAATACGTGTTTGTTATCCGCTAATCGATAACTTGCCCCGTTTCCAAGCAATCGATAAAAAGCGTTATCGAAATTCTGTTTTTCGAGCACATCTTCAAGGTTTTAAAAGCTAGAGTCAACATGTTTGACATGCAACTTCTCGTATCGTATATAAATGTTTACCTCGAGTAGAAGAAAGTTCAGGGTATAACCAAGTCGAGCACTCCCAACTAGATCACTTTTACTTCTCTTTTTTTTTTGTTATTTTTATCGATAAGCTTTTCTTGCAGTGCATATGGCTTGTTATTGACAGGGCCTTATCGCTAACATTCTGAACTTACGGGCATGTTTATCATTTCCAATATTAATGTATCACTCGAAAAGCTTTTTTTCCAGCAACGATGAGTCAGGCCATGTTGGGGGACTTTTTTTTTGGGAGCTTATACATAACTATATATATATAAATTTTTATGTACATACATTGGGGGTACGACAGGTGTGCGTATTGGCCACCTGTCAAGTCAGCTAACCAATAACATATGTACACATTTCCACTATTCAGGAAATACATAACTGTCAAATTTACTATAAATAGAGGGAAGCAGCGAGACCCGGGCTCTTCCAAGAAATTTTGATGAATTTATGGCCTCAGGCGCCACGCCTCTTAAAAGAGATTTGCAATATGTATAAATTACAGATAAGATATTGTTGTTGCATTAATTGTTCATTATTACATATGTCAATATTTATATGATATGATATATATTACAATATCTACATTTAGCAATGCAGTTCATTCACATTTACATTTACAACATCAGTTCGATGTGTTCATTTCTAGAAGATATACAGAAACATATGTGTCGTAATTTCTAGAAAGATATATAGAAACTTAGCTCTCATATAGCACATCAGTATTTCTAGAAACACATATAGAAATATATCTCTCATATCATGTATATCAGATCTGTTCATATAGAGAAACATATCTCTCTCATCAGATATATCACATCAGACATTTATTTATGTGTTCATTTCTAAAACCTTAGATAGAAATATAGCTCTTATATCATATATATCACATCAGTTCCATGACCTTATTTCTAGAAACGTATCTCTCATATAATATTATATATTAAATATATTATATTAAATAATAAAACATCAAAAAATATCTCATATACAGCTCTCAAATCATATCTATCACATCAGTTCGATGTGTTAATTTGTAGGAACATATATAGAAACATATCCCCCATATGATGTAAGATATGAAAACTCCAGTTCGAAGTCATATCATATATATATATCATAAAAGTTGTATGTTTTTATTTCTAGAACCTTATATGGAAACATATCATATCATATATCATAAAATATCTCGTATATATCTCTCATATAATATATATCACATCAATTTGATGTCCTTATTTCTATAAACTTAAAAAAAAACATAGCTCATATAGCATGTATAACAAACTTCCAGTTGGATGTCTTTAGTTCTAAAACCTTACATAGAAAGATATCTCTCTCTGTATATAGAAAAATATCTCTCTAGATATTATAAATGATAAATATGATTGAAGGGCAAACCTTTTGGGCCTAGGGAAGTATGAGGAATATGCATAATAAAATAAAGTAGCCTGGATGGATTAAATATCAACCCAAAAATCCTTTATCTAATCTAGAAAAAAAAAGAAGGAACTTGACAACTCTATAGCGACATTTTAACTCTCCAACTAAATTCGAAATAGAGAGATGTATGTTTTGCTGCTTTTCTTGGCATTCTTTTTACTTTCTTTTCCGTTCCTTTATTTTATTCTTGTTGACTCAGCGAATCTATTTCAAAATATAGCAAGCCTCGCTGCTGCTGTTTAAATGAAACATTTCTCTGAGTCAGAGTCAGAGTCTGAGGCCGAATCCGAAGTCGAAGCCAGAAGCCAGAAGCCAGAAACAGCTGTGGCTTTCGTTTATCGACTCGCAAGTGCCACAAGTTGTGGGGTCTGTTGTAATACCCATGCGGTTATTCAAAACAAAGCGCTAGAGCAATCCACATCCAATAAAAGCGACGGACAATTTCGATAAGTGCAATAAACTCGAAAGTGCAGTCGAGCCAAGCTATTCGCAGAAGGAAGCTCCTGGAATCTACCTCAAGTAGAGCCGCAAAATGTTGACAGGTGAGAAAAGTTTTATAAATACATCTCTAGTTAAACAAGCTCGACAATTGCCAAGCACAAAATTCGTGTTTATTTGGCTTCTCGTTTTTGCTGCTGTTATTGATGAAGTGTATTTTGGACCGGCTTGATAAGACCTGATCATGCAATCGCTCATAGATAAGCGCACAAATGTTGGGTAAACATCTCAAACACAGATAAAACGCATTTTTTTTTTATTGATATTTTCGAAAGGCCAGCGAAGTGTAATGCTGTTTTAAAAATGAAGAAGATACAATATTTTACTCACTTTTGAAAGTTTGCCGCGATGACGAGGTGCTAGCTGTCCCCCACCCCCCACCCCTCCCCTCCTCCCGTCCCACTTACCTGTACACATGTTTACGTGGAAAAAATGCCACAGGCTCCGATACGATATCTTATCGTTTGCCGGCTAACGACAATCACACACAACTGTTACCAAAAAGAAATATATATATATATATTTATATATATGTCAGTCAGCACATTTTGCCCGATAAGAGCGTTGCAGCTTTATAACACAACTGCCAGTCGCACGTCCAGTCAGTCATATACTAACTACGCCAGCGAGAGCGCTACGGAGCACGTATCCGTCAGATACTTTACTTCAGATACAGATTTATCTATAAACAGACACACACAACAAAATGGGTAAGCAGCAGGATTTAAGTGAAGGAATACAGAACTCTAAAAAAAAGTGGAATATACCAGTGAAAAACGAAGCGAAGATACGATAAACATATTCCTTCAAAGTTTCCACACAAAAAAAAAGTGATTAACTAACGTAAAACCTTGAATGTGGCGCAAAATAGGCCAAAGCTTTAAGCTACAAATTTTGTGCCCAATGTCTTAAAGAGTTCTATTTTGGACTTGGTGAAAGTACAGTTCGATGTGTTCGATATAGTCATATATCACAGCTGGGTACATTTGACGACAGCTAAAATCCGACCAACTTATGAGCTTTTCGTAACAGATATGGGCATGAATAATGCCACTATTTCGAAATGTACCTGATAAGACAGCCTTAGTACCTTAGTCAAGTGGTTTTTGCTGTTACCCTGCCCTGTCGTATCTTAGATCCGACACACAGATACAAGCGTCACACACACTCACGCATTGCCCTATCGCGGCACTTGTCATAACGAGTGAAGTTCTTCTCACTTGCGATCCAATTGAAAGCTTTGCGCTGCATTGAGCACAAAAATGACTCAAAGTTGAGTTAAATCCGCTTGCTTTTAAATGTGCTGCAGCAGGAGCTGGAGAGAGGGTGAGTGGGAGAGCGAGAGAGAGAGCTGGAGTGGCGTTAATTGTAGTCCTAGCGAACTTTTGCCGTTGCACAGCATTGAAGCTAGCCTTCTCACTCGCACCTCCCGAAGCTTTGACTTCTTTCATTGAGTAATAAATAAATAATAAATAATTATTACTAAATAAATATTTATCACTCAAATATTTGTTACTAAATACATATTTATCACTCAAATATTTGTTACTAAATAAATATTTATTACTCAATGTTTTCTTTCTTTAAGCTCAATTTGAGAATACGCTCAATATGAGACTTGTGCTCATTATGCGATTGAGCTCAATATGCGATTGTGCTCAATATAAGATTGTGCTCAATATCAGAATATGCTCAATATAAGCTGTGTATTTATCAAGCATTTATTGAGTATTTTATCAATGCGTTCCTTTTAAAGATAGAGCTTTTACTTAGTTTATTGATTTTATAATGAATATAATCTTTAATTTTATAATATATATAATCAATGATTTAATAATATATATTCATAATCTATAATCTCTAGTCTATAATCTATATGTAATCCTCTAAAATAGACAAATTAATAATTTTGTTAATTTTAATGAATTTTCCTAATTTCCTTCAGATCACACTTGGGTTGCCCGCAATGTGTACGATGCTCTGCCGCCATTTGCCATCGCCGCCGGCCACGATTCGGATCAGGATCCGATCTATGTGGGACGCGCCTATCACAACGGCGACATGCTGCCCGCCAAGGTGATACCCAACAAGCATCAGGCGTACGTGGCCTGGGGCGGCGAGGAGATTAGCAAGCACGACTACGAGATCCTGACCGGACATCATTACTGCTGGATACCGGCCAGCCATGGCGAGGTGCCGCCGCATGCGCTGCGCGTGGGCCAGACCGCGGAGGGGGAGCCGCTGTTT